TTAGATAGTAGGGCAATAGGCAACTATATCTCACTAGCAGTGGTTAACCGACACATACTACTATAGAATCACAAGACTCGGGCATATAAGCTTTTTAATATTAAAGGACAAAGCTTCGATTATAATGGTAGAACTATCGACCGCGAGACCGATTATCTCGACGCAACGATATAAGGACACTATAAGACAATCGTCTTCGATATTATAGACTTATATAAATACGATATAATACTAGGTCACCTATAGTTAACGAGAAGTAATCCGGTAGTCGATTAGCGCACTAGCTAGTTAGCGTGGGTGGACACGATAACGCGACGATCACTATTTAACTAGAAGGAAGCGAATATTCGCGACGACTTAGCCTCTAAAGGATCTTTACCGAAGGATATAAGCGAGCCGAAGCAGGCAAAAGCCGTAGTACTAACCGAGAAGGCTATACAACCGGGTATACAATACAAACAAGGAAAACGAATCCTCGCTAACATTATACAAAAGATATTTAAGGCAAACCAAGCCCTATAAGAAGAAAGAAAGAAGAAACCTATAATAGAAGAAGAACGAATAAAGAATATACCGCTAGAATACCGAAAGTATAGTAGGTTGTTTAAGGAAACCCTCGAAACGGGTATTCCGCAATATAGTTAGTAGGATCACGAAATCTATCTTAAAACTAGAACCTCGACTAAGTTCTACAAACTCTATAACCTTAACGAGAAGTAACTTAAAACATTACGAGAATATATCGACGAAATGCTTAAGAAAGGCTATATTCGAACCTCTACCTCGGAAGCAGGATATCCTATTATGTTCGTGCTAAAAAAGAATAGGAAGCTACGACTAGTCGTGGACTATCGGTAGCTTAACGATATTACGATCAAAGATAGGACACCCCTGCCGCTTATTAACGAGCTCAAGGATAGACTTCACGGCAAGAACTAGTTCACCGCTCTTGACCTAAAAGGAGCCTATAACCTAATCCGCATGAAGAAAGGAGACGAATAGAAGACAGCTTTTCGCACCAAGTTCGGTCTATTCGAGTATTTAGTAATGCTATTTAGCCTCACTAATGCTCTAGCTACCTTCTAACGAATGATTAACAACGTACTTAGGGAGTACCTAGATATCTTCGTTATAGCATACCTAGACGATATTCTAATCTTCTCGGAAAACCTTAAAGAACACAAGAAATACGTCCACTAGGTACTAAAAATACTTTAAGATACGAACCTCTTAGTTAACCTAGAAAAGAGTGCGTTTTATATATAAGAAACCGTCTTCCTCGGACACACGATCCGACCAAACGAAATCCTAATAGAATAAACAAAGATTAATACAGTCAAAGAATAGCCCGTGCTAACAACGCTTAAGGAAGTACAAGCGTTCGTGGGATTTACGAACTATTATCGACGCTTTATACGCGACTTTGCGAAAATCGCAGCACTACTCACGGGACTCACTAAGGGAAAAGAAGAATTTAAGTAGGAAACGGAGCAATAAAAGGCATTCGAAGGATTGCGAGACACTATACTATTAAATATAATACTCACAACCTACGACCCCGGAAGACTACTCGAATTAGAAATAGACGCATCGGACTACGCCATAGGAGCACAAATCGGTCAATAAGACGATAATAGCAACGTACGACTAATTGCATTCTTCTTAAAGAAACTCCACGGTGCGGAACTAAACTACCCCATTTACGACAAGGAATTCCTAGCAATTATCGCAGCTATTAAGGAATTTAAGCATTATATGCTAGGAACGAAGTTCACTACTAAAGTTTACACCGATCACTAAAATATCTCCTATTTCGCGATAACACAAGAACTCAGCGCACGATAAACAAGATACGCTAAATTCTTAGCCGATTACGATATTGAAATTATCTATCGGAAAGGTTCGGAAAATAGCAGAGTAGATACACTTAGCCGCCGACCAGACTACAACACCGAAGTACCAAAAGCCAAGGGCTAGATACTTTAATAAAATAACAAAGGAAACTACGTACAAATAGCACTTAACCTTCTTATATTCAGAGTAGAAGCAGACACTATATATTACGATAAAATACTAGAATAAGTATTAAAATATAAAAAAGAAATACCTAACGACTACGCGATAGAAATAAGAAAAGGACCTACTAGGAATAGACTGCTCTAGATACCACCGCTACTACGCGATGAAATCTTAATTAATATTCATACGCATCCCACGGCAGGATATTAAGGAGTCAGAAAGACTCTTAAACGAATACGACGAACGTACGACTACCAAGGAATCAAGGTAGACGTCGCACGCATCGTCGGACAATATAAAGATTATGCGCGCAGCAAGGCTACACGGCATAAGCCATACGGAGAGTTAAAGCCACTACCAGTGCCTTCAAAGCCATAGGAATCGATAGCCTTCGATCATATTACGAAGCTACCCAAATCTAAGGAACCAGGATCTAACGTCGAATACGATAGTATATTCGTTATTACGGACCGGATAAGCAAATTCGGATATTTCCTACCATACTAAGAAGCAACGGATGCAGAAATACTCGCATACACAATGCTTAAATATATCGTGGCCAACCACGGCCTTCCGGAAGAAATCATTTCGGATCGAGGAACGACATTCACCTCGAAGTTCTAGCAAGCATTAATAGCTTAGCTTAGGACCAAACACAAGCTTAGTATAGCTTACCACCTACAAACGGATGGACAGATAGAAAGATTGAATTAGATATTGGAATAGTACTTACGGTGCTATATTAGCTTTAAGCAAGACGATTGGGTCTCGAAGTTACCACTCGCCTAACTCGCCTATAACAGCGCACCTACGGAATCAACCAAAATCTCACTATTCTACGCGAACTACGGATACGAACCCGAGTTCGGCAATAAAATACCAAGGGATAGACCTCTTGCTAAGAAAGCTATGCTTAAAGTAGATCAATTACGCTCACTATATGAACACATAAAGAAATAGCTCGAATTCGTACGTACACGAATATCGAAGTACTATAATTAGAAAAGATCGAAGGGACCGATCTTTCGGAGGGGAGATATAGTCTACCTACTACGTAAAAATTTCACAATAACTCGACCTTCACCGAAGCTCGACCACAAAAAACTTAGACTATTTAAGATCGACGAGATCATCTCAGGCACTAACTACAAACTCTCACTACCCTCAAGCATGAGGATGCACCTAGTCTTTCACATATCACTACTCGAAAAAGCACCACGAAACGCAAAAACCAAGTACGAACTAGAAGTTCTCGAGGAACTCTACGAACCAGAACGGATACTCGATAAACGAACAATCAACGGAGAAATCAAATACCTTATTAAATAGAAAGGCTATGCGAGCAACGAAAATACATAGGAACCCGCTAAACACCTCACGAACTGCGGCCACCTATTGCGACAGTTCTATCGGGCCCAGCCAAACCGAAATCCACTAGAATCGACAGATCCAACGGCACATCCTCGTATACAGTATCCCATATCTACATGAAGTCAGGCTCTAAAAAGTTCTTAGTGGAGGAACGACTAGCGGAGGAGCCCGACACTTCTAACCGCCTCTGCTCGCGCTCAGCCTCCTCGCGCTCCACACGTTCTAGCTCCTCCACGCTATCAATACCACGAGACACGGCTCTTATTATCTTCTCGAACCATAGTTTCTTTTGTTTTCGAAGACGGAGGACCTTTTCCTCCGCCCGCTCGAGCTCGGTCTCGAGTTTTTAGTGTTATTCGGCGATCTTACGAAGCTGCGAGGTGGAGACCCCACCAACGTCGCAGGCCGAGCGGTTTGAACGAACGCACTCGGCGCAACGAGAGGAATCATCAGCTAAAACCTGACAGGTCTTAAGACCACGGCGCTCGTAGTTAGAGCAAGCAGGTATATCGACGGAATGCGCAAAGATGGTTTCAAGAAGACGGATCTTACGCTCCTTAGCGTCAAAGGACGATTTCTACGCACGCTTAGCGACACGGCCGGATATAGCAAGAAGATTGAACAAGGAAGAGGAAAACTCACTAGAACTAATAGGATTGGGGAAGGGCGCGTAATATATAATCTTAGGGACAAGATCTCGGAAGGAGGGGCATCATATTACGACCTAGTATGCGGCCTTCACGTGCTTCCAGGCACACCCCACTTTTTCTACCCACTCACAGCATAATCATCACTTACACGAATGATCGCGCCCGCGATCATTACGATCATCACGGATCACTACGAACAAGCAGAACAGATCATTGTCGGGAACAATAATCACCTTAGTATATAGGGAGCTACGCTTCACCATAGTCAGTCTCTACCCAGCTCCTTAGCTATCAATACAATTGTCTACGCAAGATCCACTATCTCGCACATAGACTGTGACCCGACCGCTCAAGTCAACGACATCCTAGTGTACTTAGTTCAAACCCGACTTCTATTCTATCTACCCGGTAGCTAGTCTAGACCCGAACGTCACACGTAGTCTAGTACTACCTATGTTTTTCTTACTTTATTAGCAGCAATATATAGCTAAGCCCTTTATAGAGCGATATACCCGGAGCCTCCTAAGCCCTAAAGGGCGGCGCTATAGAAACCTAGTGATTATAGTAAGAGCTTATCTAGTCGATCTATAAGAGCCCTACGATAGACTATATCCTCGTTATAGGGATAGGGAATAATACGGACGACGGCGGTAGGGGCGGGCTAGTAGGGCGGGTAGTAATAGACGCTGCCGTAGATATTGCCCTAGTTAATAAAGGTCTAGTCGCGGAACTAGCTACGACTAATATCGCGCCGCTAGTCTCGCCTATTATCGGTTATCGTCGCCGTCGTTCACTAGAGGATATAGTCCTCAAAGAGTTAGGACTTTGGCGGATGCATGAGGCACCGACGTGCCAACGTAGCCTTCTTCAGCCCCTCACGTGACAACGGCATGCAGCACTAGACAATCCTGATTGTGTCCGCTTGAAACTTCCTCCTCTCTTACAGCCATAAACCGCGCAATGGCTCCCTCACAACCGCCCGCCGACCGCAGAAACTTCCGAGTTGCCATCATTTGCGCTCTACCTCGCGAGGCCGATGCCGTCACCTTACTCTTCGACCAGTTTTGGGACGAGGTGCGCGATCCCTACGGCCGAGCAGATGGCGACACGAATACCTACATAACCGGTCGCATCGGAGACCATAACATTGTTTTAGCTGTCCTTCCGAATATGGGTACTAATAGCGCCGCGGCTGCAACCGCTAGCTTGCGATCGAGCTATGTTGGTTTAAGGCTCGCTCTCCTTGTCGGCATATGTGGAGGGGTCCCTTACATTGGTGGCAGTCATGCATTTCTAGGCGACGTGGTAGTGAGCAAGTCCATCACCCAATACGACTATGGCAGGTTGTATCCTGGACATTTTGCTGTGAAGAATACGGTCGAAGACAGCCTTGCGAGAGCCAACAGAGACATCCGAGGTCTCCTTGCCGTCTTTGAAACAGAGCTGATGAGGGAGCGGCTTCAGGCTGAGGCTTCAGGGCACCTGAACCACTTGCAGAAAGTGGCTAGGGACAAGCGGCGGCGAGCTAATTACCGATATCCTGGGACGACTGAAGACCGACTATATTCCTCGGACCATGTTCACAAACACTGGGACTCGTGTGACTTGTGTGCCGATGGCTCGGGTGCCTTCTGCGAGGCAGCCTCCAAGGCGTCATGTGCCGACACCAAGTGTGGTTCGGCTGACCTAGTGGTGAGAGAGCATCATGCCCGCGACGACGATTTCAGGCCAGAGATCTACATAGGTCGAATCGGCTCAGGCAACACAGTGATGAAGAGCGGGGAAGAACGGGATCAAATCGCCGCCCAACACAACCTCATTGCCTTCGAGATGGAAGGCGCAGGGGCCTGGGATGAAGTCCCTTGTATTGTTGTGAAAGGCCTCTGTGACTATGCCGATAGCCACAAGAACAAGGCCTGGCAAGACTTTGCGGCAGCCACGGCTGCATCTGTGGCCAAGGCCATCCTGGGGCGATACGCGGCTCACGACGGGGACCGAGCTTCAAACCAGCCGAATGGTACCTAATTTTGTTTCCCTCTTCTTTCAGACTTTTCAGACTGACGTGCGTGAAGATCAACGGCCATTGAGTGGACGAAGCGTTGCAAACAATTCGTTTGGAAACAATACTTTGATTAATCAGGGTGACGTAGGCGGAAACCTGACATATTGACCTACGTCAAGGGTCTCCCTCGACGTGCTATGTATGTACTGTACCGCACGTGCCGTTTGTCGAAAGCAGTCGACCATTCGACGATTGGTATCATGATAGCTCTTATGAACCCCTGCCCGATGCCAAAACAACTCTCCTCATGCTTGATGCATTGTATAGAGTGGTCAAAAAACCAGATACATAAACGCGTGAGATTACTGCTCTCCTACACGAGTAGTTTGAAGTGGAAGTATCGCTCACACATAACAGCCAGCCCTGCTATGAAAACTGGTAAGAGTTCACGTCGCGTAGCAGGACTCTACTACAAAGCTAAAGACGATGGCTGCTGCTACACAGTCACGTGAGGGGCTGAAGTAGGCTACGTTGGCACGTCGGTGCCTCATGCATCCGCTAAAGTCCCAACTCTTTGAGGACTATATCCTTTGGTGAACGACGGCGACGATAACCGATAATAGGCGAGACTAGCGACGCGACGTTAGTCGCAGCCAGTTCCGCGACCAGACCTTTATTAACTAAGGCAATATCCACGGTAGCGTCTACTACTACCCGCCCTACTAGCCCGCCCCTACCGCCGTCGTCCGCGTTATTCCCTATCCCCGTAACGAGGATATAGTCCGTCGTGGGGCTCTTATAGATCGACTAGATAAGCTCTTACTATAATTACTAGGTTTCTATAGCGCCGCCCTTTAGGGCTTAGGAGGCTCCGGGTATATCGCTCTATAAAGGGCTTAGCTATATACTATTACTAATAAAGTAAGAAAAACGTAGGTAGTACTAGACTACGCGTATCGACGATACGATAACGATAAGGATTGCTACGTCTTCTAGGTGCACGCCGATAGCGAAGCGATATTCACGTCCGATTATAAAGCGATCGGGAAGAAGCTCGGGGTCGACGACCGGCTTAATAGGTCGGATCTACTTAATATAGTCTATAGTAAGATAGGAGAACGGTCGGTATAGGTTATAATCCTCGATAACGCTAATAATCTCGGGTTATTTAGCGTCGGTCTAGTATAATAAGGGACGAACGAGAGCTTACGCTACTATATCCCCTACGTATCATAGGGAACGCTGCTATAGATAAGTCGAGACGAATATATTACCGGCACGCTTATAGGATCGCGTCGAGGGATCGAGGTACGGTCTATAGCTACGGAGGAGGCGATAACGCTTCTTATAAGGGTTAGGGATAACGAGTCGACTTTTAGTAAGGTCGGAGTTAATGCTTTACTAGAAGAACTATAACGTCTCCCGCTAGCAATCTCGCAAGCTAGCGCCTATATACAGCGTATATCGATATCGGTCGAGGACTATCTAAACCTTTTAGAATAAGGCAAAACTCGCTAGGAAGTCTTAAAGATAAGCGATACTAACCGATATCGACGGCTAGAGGTATCGAATAGCGTGCTTAAGATATAGAGGATCTCGATCGAGGGGATTCGAGCAGAGAGCGAGATATTATACCGGATCCTATATATAATTGCGTATATAGATAGCTAGGATATACCGTATGACTTAATAGCGACGGCTAGTCGATATAGTATAGTCGACGAGGACTATACCGGAGAGACTACCGACTTTTAGGTAGGGTAGGCTATTATACGACTAAAGGAGTTCTTATTTCTTAGCTTACGTTAGAGAGAAGACGGGAGGCGAAGCTATAAGATATATAGGCTTATATAAGACGCTATACGGTATAGGTTAAGTATAGGCGGGCCGATAAAGACGGCCCTTAGGGATACGGCGGGTAGGGAAGGTGGACTAGATAACGGAGAAGTATATTATTCGAGTTAACCGTTACGGATAGTAGATAAGCTCTTCCCGGTATCGGAAGGGAAGCTATAGGCACGGTGCGAGTAGTATATAACGTATACTATACGAGTAGTAGAGTAGGCGGAGGTTAGTAGGACGGAGGTTACTACGTTAGGATTGCTCCGCCGAGTATCGGGCTTTCTCTATAATCAAGGACGATAGAGGGAGAAAGAGCTTATAAATAAAAGGGCGTTAAGGCTCCGATAGTAGGTGGTTAGGGAGAAGCACCCCGATACGATTAATAGTATAGCGGACCTCGCGGTAACGTATTATACGTAGGGCCGATACGATAAGGATAAAGAGATTTCGGTTAAAGTACTAGATCTCCGATAGGAGGTAGTTAGGGAGAAGCACCCCGATACGATTAATAATATAGCGTCCCTCGCGGCGACGTACTATAGGTAGGGCCGATACGACGAGGCGGAGACGCTAAAGAAGCGAGCACTAGATCTCCGACGGGAGGTAGTTAGGGAGAAGCACCCTAATACGATTAGTAATATAGCGGAACTCGCGGCGATATACTATACGTAGGGTCGATATAACGAGGCTAAAGGTATTTATCGGGAAGTACTAGATCTCCGACGGGAGGTAGTTAGGGAGAAGCACCCCGATACGATTAGTAGTATAGCGTCCCTCGCGGCAACGTACTATAGGTAGGGCCGATATAACGAGGCTAAAGGTATTTATCGGGAAGTACTAGATCTCCGACGGGATATAGTTAGGGAGAAGCACCCCGATACGATTAGTAGTATAGCGGACCTCGCGGCGACGTACTATACGTAGGGCCGATACGATAAGGATAAAGAGATTTCGGTTAAAGTACTAGATCTCCGACGGGAGGTAGTTAGGGAGAAGCACCCCGATACGATTAGCAATATAGCGTCCCTCGCGGCGACGTACTATAGGCAGGGCCGATATAACGAGGCGGAGACGCTAAAGAAGCGAGCACTAGATCTCCGACGGGAGGTATTTAGGGAGAAGCACCCCGATACGATTAGTAATATAGCGGACCTCGCGGCGACGTACTATAGGCAGGGCCGATACGACGAGGCGGAGACGCTAAAGAAGCGAGTACTAGATCTCCGACGGGAGGTAGTTAGGGAGAAATACCCCGATACGATTAGTAGTATAGCGTCCCTCGCGGCGACGTACTATAGGTAGGGCCGATATAACGAGGCGGAGACGCTAAAGAAGCGAGCACTAGATCTCCGACGGGAGGTAGTTAGGGAGAAGCACCCCGATATAATCAAGAGCATAGCGGACCTCGCGGCGACGTACCATAGGCAGGGCCGATATATCGAGGCTGAAGGTATTTATCGGGAAGTACTAGATCTCCGACGGGATATAGTTAGGGAGAAGTACCCCGATACGATCAGCAGTATAGCGGACCTCGCGGCGACGTACCATACGCAGGGCCGATATAACGAGGTTGAAGTACTTCATAACACTACTCTAGACCTTCGCCGGCATATTCTTGGTGAAGATCACCCGCACACGACTCAGAGCACTATGTACCTGGCCTCCACACTATGAGTTTTGGCAAAGGGAGGTCCCACTGAAGTAAGGGACCTAGTTGAAACTCCTCAGAGACCTTCAAATACTGTAACGTGATTGATAAGCGAACCGGCCAGACAAGCGAACCGGCCACTTTTCTATCATCATCCATCATTGTCATTTGATCAATTGTTCTACAACAACCAGCAATGTCAGATCAAAGGAATGAAGCTAATATCCTTCTTGCTATTCAAGCGCTTCAAACCAACCCAAAATTAAGTGTGCGACGCGTAGCTAAGATCTATAATGTTCCACGCTGCCATCGCCGCACATGCCTCTCCAGCCGACACCTGTTCCACAAACCATGCTTACCTTCGCCCACCAAGCTTTGGAAGATGACGCCGCAGCAGACAGCGTCACGGCCACACGTCGAGTTTGACCTTACCGTTAGCTTCGTGATGTCCGCCAAATGCATGAGCGTCTAGTGCGGTTCATATGAAGCTACTCTACATAAGCACTTACCGGTCACAAAGTATTAAGTAGCGAGTAATATGTAGCTAGCGGGGTTCAAAGTCTCAATATTCAGGTACGTACAACTCTAAGGGCAATGGCAAAGTAGCCGGCGGCCGTCGCCATTACCCGCCCCGTTTGTCCTCTCCATAGTCGGCACGGCGAAACAACGCTCACTTCACGAAGAAAATGGGCAACGAGTCCTACGAATGACATGGTGCCTACCTCTCGGCCAGCCAATCTTCTACGAAACGTCAATAGGGGTGCTAGATGACAATTAAGTTATAGCGTGGCTCTCGAAGCATTGTTTCTATTATCCTCCGCAATTATATGACCGGTTTTCAATTATCTGCACCAGCAGCTATCAGACTCTGCTCCGGCTTTCTCGCTATCCACACGTATCTATAGCGCGATTAGAAATTACCACAACACTAACCTGCACATGAAAGCCGACCACCAAAGGGAACTAACATATTACAGTAGGTGCGGTACTTCAGAGTATAGATCTCAAGCCGAGCACTAGCGCACAGCTTATGAACTTATTCGTAATCCAGTCCATGCTTCTCTATCAAGGGCATCATACTCAGAGATTCGAGACTATAGCTCAACCCGAGGTTGAACCAGCGTGCAAGCTCTTGTTCATGTGGATCGAGAGACTAGGGGGACACGTAGGCTTTGATAACTTATTGCTTAAAGTCGACGAATCCTGCGGCCTGGATCATCTCTTTCGTTGCTGTAGGTGTGACTGTCACGCTGCGATTGCATTTATCTATGCTAGTATGGAAGAGCTCTGACCATTTTTGGAATAAAGAGTCTTCAGGCTTCACAACGTCGTCGTCCTATCTAGGAGTCCAGTTAACTTTAACCTACTCTATATAGCCAAAACCTTGTGTCAAGTGCCTAGTCATACTTAGCGCTAGCTACATTCGCAATATTTTACCTACTTGAAGGTGCTTTGATAGATCTACGGCCATAATTCTATTTGAATACCGCCGCGTAGCATTCGCATATGAATCAAGTCGCAGTCTGCCAGTAATGGACTCCACGTTGATTCTTCTATATCGTATTGTTTGAAAACAAGCCCCGCGGGAATCCTAGAAAAATATTAGTCCGCGGTCTTAGTTGATTTCGCAAGACTTACAATGCCGGTTGAACCAGATTCAGGTCTACTGCCATGATGTGAGCTCTGATGAGATAGCTGTAACATACGAGTTAGTATCGACAACCAAAGCTTGGAGTTGTCAGACGCACTTTTCAGCTACATCAATTGCCCAAATGCCGGTGCCTGTACCAAGGTCCATGATCCTAGGTTGCTGCCGTTTAATAGGGACACTATATGGCTTGCCTCGGGCGACGAGGAATACTTTATGAAATAGATCGAGCCGCTTCGACTCCTCCTAGATGGTATTAATTGAAATGCTTGTAAATGTTAGGCAATATATGCGTACCGAGTCGATAGGAACAAAATATTTGTCGGATTTCCAGGAGCCATAGAAGCGCCCATAAATCCAGTATCCCTCTTTGAGGTATTCCTGTAGCTCGATTACACTGAAAGAGCAACGTGTCAGTCAACTCAGGTTGCCATAATAGCAGACGCAGCACGTACGCCGATGGCATAGTGACCGACGCCCGGTAAGGATGGACCTCAGAATGGCTCAATCGTCGCGGCAGCCTCAAAATGTTCTAGATTGATATTGTGTCATTCAAATCGCGAGGAAGATCGGAGATGCGGATGGCGGTCAGCATGGATGTTCCATTAGAGTATCTTATTTACACGTGACTGTAGTCAGGTGATACGTCAGCATGTCTAGCCCAACACTGAAATTCAATAACCCCATAAAAGCAATTCCCTAAAGAACAATCATCCCTTCATGTCCCATTAAAAAATGGGATACCCTGTAGGGTACGACACACATCCAAACCAAGAGGACGAGTCAGATCATCCTGCGCTCCGTAGCACGAGAAGTTAATAAGAATAGCAAACTTATGTTTCTCTCGGCTTTTATCCAACGGGTCAATAAGCTGACATTCTTGAAGCTTCCCGTTACCTAAATCAATATATGGCATAGAAGGGCAGATTTTTCGAGTGTGCGAGATCTCACAAACGGCTCCTGGTGGAAGTCGGAGACAGCTAAGACTCTGTCGAAAATGGTTACCATTCATAGCGTCGTTTGGCGTTCGAAGGTTTCCTTGAATAGGGCATATCGTGACGCGAGGGGTAGAATGCTCCGAGCTATCAGGAAAGTCTGCCCATACAACCCTGATGTTATTGAGATTAGGCTTAGTTAACCTCCTCCACGCGACGCTTTGTGTAGTAGGCATGACGTCTCTAGACACTGGTAGAATATTACGTCTTAGGATTTGTCTGCCCAGGCCCTGACTAGGCGGATTTGCGGTGATATGGCCGTCGACATCGGTTCCATATGAACAATAATTGTGGCTTATAAATCCATAAACGTTTAATGGTTTCTTGAATAGATTAGTAATAATCCTGACCGCGATCTAAATTTTGAGGGGCTCCTCGTTCCAAGGGTCGGATCGCTCTTTCCAATATTCGAGGGGATCTTCGAGTCGTTTTTTCCACAGAGTCACGTCATGGCCGATTAAGAACACCTTGTGACCTCTTTTCATCAAACCCTCGATCCAAGGTGCGTGTTCGGGCATGTCTCGGAGTAAGGTAATAAACCGATGTCTCGTACGCTCCTATTCTTTGTTCCTCAAAATGTTGAGTATAGCGAGAAAGCATGTAGCTTCTGAGCCCGAGAGGTTATTCAAAACTCCTTCTGTGAAATGGGGCAGTGCCGCACAGAGGCGTTGTAACGTAGTACCAGAATAATTCATAATTCAAGACGGAGTGATTGGGTCTAGGGTAGTTGCATGCCGGCAATGACTAACGCATGGGTCTATGTTATATCTAGCATATTTGATATGGTTCTAGTATATAACTAGTGAGGGGAAGATCGAGTTTCTAAAGAGGAGTATTTATTTTCGAAGCACTAAAATAAGATCATACCTTCATTTCTATGACGAATTGTTGGCATTGCTAGTGCTAGCTCTTGAATTCGGCTGACCTAAATTAAGACCCTGCACTAAAACAAGATCACTGCGACCACCGTCTCTATTCTAGCACGGCGCAACAAATAAGTGTCTGAGCACACGGTTTGATTGAGTTAAGTTAAAGTGCACGCTTGGTCCTGGTCCATAGTCATCTATGATTACCCGCATACTCCTCGTACCATGTTGCCTCCGCATACCCTAAACCGCTATCAATTAATGGTACTTGAGGCGCAGAATTCAAGTTATGTCTTAGACATTTTGGCGGCTATGTGTAACTAGGTCTTCCTCGCAGGATTCGTCACTCTTCTAGCAATATTCATAACGATTGCATACGTAAAAAATCTAGAACACACGCAAGCAGGGCAGATCATTCAAATTTTTGCAAAGAGAACTCCAATTCTGGTCATTAGCTGTATTTCGTTTTCTCTAGGTGCTTCCGGCGTGTCCTGGTGCACATGGAGCATGAGGTATAATCAGGTTTGGATTTTTGCCAATATTTTATTGTAAGCCGCAAGCCTCGGAGGTCGAACGGAACTAATGAAGACGAAGGCCCGGGTTTTAAAATGCTCTTCTTGGACTTCTGATGATGCTAGTGAGGGTATATACCACGTAGGATGGGTATTGGTCTCCCATAGCGATTGTTAGTTTCTGCGTTGCCGGTGTCTACGGGGTTTTGATGGGATCTAGTATGTTGGGCTTTGAGATGATTCTTTTTAGGAGGCTAAGAAGCTATTAGCAATAATGAACTGCTTTAACTCGAAGTATATTACCTACCTTAACGCCTGGAAACTTGACACCCCCTTCGCCGCTGTCCTGGTTTGTCTGTTCCTTCTTAAAGTAGCCGATGAACTTAAGCACGGGATTTTCTTAGTCTCTGAGTTGCTAGACGTGTCTTACGTATGTAGGGTTCTTTCGCTATCGTTTCGGAGTTAGTTCTGGTTTTATATCGAGTATATCTCTAATCGGTCGTTTGTGGCTTGAACATCCGTGAATGTACCCCGTGCTTGGTTTGAGGATAATAGCAGTAGATGACTGGATATGGTACCTCTCGCGATGTTGTTTCTTTGATAATTCGGAAACATTACCAGGCTGCGGCGGTGGAGAAGGTGTTTGTGGTTAATGTAAGAAATATATAACAAGCTCCCGGCATTCTTGCAATTGTGTAAGATCCAACTGGGTGCTGAGCGATTGTGTGGAGCTAACAACTTCTTCGAACACCTTGATAGAGTCGTGACGGGTCGGAAACCGAATATTGATGAGCAGCTAGATCATTCAATGGCACGTCAATCAAGCGTGGCAATCGCCGTCTCAGCTTATCTCACGATATTAGTATACAGGGGTGATAGATCGTTTATATTTACAGAATTAGACCAGGCAGACTACAAGGCGTTATAATGCTCATCTATTTTTAGATGCATAGAAAATCTAGAGGGGTATAAAGTTGTCTTATTCCCCTCTCTCGCTCTCTACCATATTTATATCAACTTCGTAACATTATCGTTATCATATCCTCAATAATAACTATCCATTGTCCAACGGGTGACATGGATACTATCCCGCCTTATGGTTCGCCTACGAAACGACCATATGAAAGCATAGAATATCCGTCTTAGGTAGTGCTGTCATGAGTGCTGCTAATATAAGCTAACTCGTTGAAAGGGCAACCAATATTACAGAGACGTTGGAACCTCGGTTCGCGATACTATCGGCATTAAGACAGAAAGTCAAACAGACGAATGCAACTACCCAGAGCTTGGGGATGTCGTAGACGTATTGAATTCCGGGGCCGTTAAGACAAAGATCTATCTTGTCTTCCCGGGAGGGATATATATCCAGACCTTGGATCGATAGAATTTCTTGCACCTGACTATAGTTGAGCTACGAAACGCACTACCTTCTGAATGGTTGAAATCGATCCCGGTACCCTTATACACGACCATCCATATTATAATCTCGATATAGACCGAGGTCCTGAGCGCTGTGTAAATACCTCTGTTCTCGGACTTGGGTGGGTTCTACACCGCTACGAAGAGACTCGCCGAGTTTCAGGCAGAAACCATGAGCCGGGTGATGAATATGCGCGAGACCACCTAGTTTAACAAAAGAGTTGATCTCAGCGTTATTCTGCAGGCGTTGAAATGAGTCATGGCATTGGACTAATTTGTTACTTTGTGTTTCTATCCTCGTTAATCGTATTATTTTGACGATAGCTGTGGCCTAGTGTTATGTAATTATGTCGAAGAAAATGAATATTCGTACCACGAAGCTTAAACTCGTATTATAAAGCCTGATTCGTGATAGTGTTTATTCGAACGGGATGTTGACTTAGGGCTTAGACTCCTTAATCAATTAATTACCAAAAACTCTGAAAGCTTACTGATAGCTAGTGCATCTCCTTCAATCGTATTCACCAACTCCTCATCCACCCAGCTATAAGTCCAGCCGCCCCCAAAGTCAATTAGCCAAACATCGTCTTGTTCGTCGATAATAACGTTGCTGGCCTTTCCGTCGCCCCAGATTATCTCTTTGGCGTGTAAGGTGTGAACTACCTCGCGGATCTGCCTAATCCACTTTTGCCTCCGCTGTACTGGCGTCGCGGGAACGTCTATATCCCTGAGGCGGCGTCCGGGGATCCATTGCCGAAGGAAACCGACAATGCGGCCCATATCTTCGTGCCTTATATATCCCAGAAGCTACGGGGTATGTATTGTAGCATCGAGCTTAGGTGGTGGAAGCTTCCGCACTTCCTGTAAGTATTATAGCTCTCGCCCCACGCTAGTGCCAATCAGTCCTCTACTTACGACAGCCTTATAGAACATCTCTTTGCCGTTAACCAAGACCCGACTAGCAGCGTGCCTACCGCCTTCTACAAACATCTCCCGGATAAGTATTGCTTTGGTTGTGTAGTAAGGAAGGGTATTGTTAATGTCTAACTCATCCTCTTCGGCGCTATTATAGCCTATACTACCCGCAGAAAGGGTATAGGTATCGCTTGGTTCGATAGGGATAATAACAGGCTTGCCGTCGGTGTCTAGAAGCTGGAAATGAAGTGTCGGGGGATAAATGGCCGAGTGAAGATCTCGCGGTGGATTGAGCTTTATCTGGAGCGTGGCTTGAGCTTTAAAGATAGTCCTGCCTGCATCTAAAATAACCCCTAGAATCTCGTCCTTAAGCTCCTCGTACTCGAAGTCGCCCATATCGTCAGAGGCAGCGCGGCCCAGAACATCGATGAGGTGGTCTTGTATTGAGCGCCGATTTCGGTCGTGGTTTGAAGAGCTGGGGAATATCGATACGGCGATTCGCTGGCTATTGAAGTTGAAAATGAGGTCTGCGCCATCACCGTCGCCCGCATGGATCTGGAGGACGGCGAGCCTGTCCAACTCGCCTATTTCGCCTATAGTATGAGACTCTCTGAAGCGATAATGAGATATTATTATGTGAATCAAATATCTAGTTTGCGTTAGCTCGCTAATAGGACAATAAGAATAAGTCGTGAAGCGAGCTATTCTGAGATAAGAGAGGAAGGTGAGTTGGTGTGTGTCGGATTTTCTGACGCAGACTGAAGCTTAACGCGTGGCTAGAAGATTCCACTTTTCCCCCACAGCGAATGCCCGGGAGTGACTAGCAACGCGCGCGGCTTGCTGCCCCTTATCCGCCCGTAGTGAAGATGAGTTACAGCATTGATTGGGCATGCATATGACAGAGGCCTTTTATGGAGATGGCGATGTGCGTCTAAATATATCCGGGATCGTGTCTATAAGCTATTTTTAGCTCATTATATGTAGATCACAAGCTGTTGCAGCAGCTTGAAGTAAGGCAACTAGCGTAAATAAAGTCACTCTCTGCCCGATTCCCCTGCCTGCCCTAAGCATTCCTCGGTGTTTAATATATGCCATAATACTACAGTTATCTATCGCTGCGGCCGTCACACCAGTCGTGAGATTACCCACTGCCCCGATGCCATGGTCTCCCGTCGAACCGGCAAACTTATTATATGCGGTTCTCGGTCCCACACGCGGTCCGACTAGCGAGACTCCTTGTGCGAAAAGCGTAGCTACCGCCACTTCCAGCTCGGTGGTACTTAGACCTACTGTATGTGTTAGAATGGCCCTAACCGCTATGGGCGATGCGTCTTCACCCGTGTTATTAATCCGGAGACTAATAATATTATTAACCCTTGCAATCACAGACCCTGTGATAAATGCACCGCGTATATATCCCAACGAAGGCGCAGATAGAGCAAGCTTATCTCGACCAGTGGGAATATATCTCTCGCCAGCACGGGCGTGGTAGGAAATCGATTAGATTAGCGGGCTTTGTACCCTTACGGCCATGTGAAGTTGAATAACTAGACTAGATAGATCACGTTGTTCGAAATGGTCCGTGCTGCTGCTTCATCGGCTGAGTTTCACCGTCACATAGACGCAAGACGTATGTCTCGCCGAGTGACTGAGCTCCGCGGAGCTTCACTCTTAATTAACGCATAATATTGGAAGCAATATCTATTTGGGTACGTTCCTAATGTTTATCCTATATGATAGACCTTAAGGTTAAGAGGGAAGTATCTGTAGAACTATCGAACTGATGAAGCAAAGCCCGCGTATCTCCAACCGCAAAAGTCAACGCCTTGCTATGATCATAACCCTGCAGCCTCTAGGTCCAATAGGCAGTAGTAATGCCACTATCTAGCCTGTACCCGCAGAAAAAGCTACTAAATGCCGTTTCGTGGAAGCTCCTAACAAAATCGCGGATTCGTGGCCCTTCCATGCAACAGGCCTGATAGAAATAACAAATGTTAATCGAAAGGTCGGGGAGTTGCTTCTTCTGGCCATTGAGGAATATATCCAAATCGGCTAGAGGTTGTGCTAACGGTTGAGTTGCCTCCTCTGAAGGTGCAAGGGATTGAAAACAAAAACATGCTACTAAGAGGGCAGCAAGCTTACTACTCTCCGAGCAGGACCTAATGTTTTGTTGTAGGCCCGAGATATATTCTCGAACACCGTGCTAGATCGTATGCTATGTGTTTTCTTGTAACTACGCTCTTCCCGTCCATAATAGAAGAGACATTAGGTGGCTAGTGAGATGCTCCTCCCAAGCCTAGCCTCTATCTACTATGTCGTCGTGGAACTACATGCTGCTCTCTATCTAAGAAAAGTTTAGATACGAGAATAGTTTCTCGGCGTATAGCTTTCCCGTTATTGATAATAGCTTGTGTAACTCGCGGGGATAACTTACTAAGACGTGAGGAGGTGCTAGAAAAAGCTTAGGCATGTACTCCGTGTACTTTTGTGAGGAAGCGACGATATTAATCCCCTGATATAGATGATATTTCTTAAGCAGCGGCATAACTTGGAAATCCCTATCAATTCGGGGAGACGTTGCACCTAGTAGTGAAGCCAGAAGCCTGAGGTTGTCTGACGGTGTTTGCAGCTTATCGATGAGGGGCGGATAACAAAGCTGAGACGCTCCGAACATGCCTAGCAACCTTCGGAGAAGACCGATAGCATGGAGAGTCGAGGGGTAAGTAGACCTAAGATTCATCCATGCTATAGTCCAAACCCCGCGAGCATCAAACTCACGGAGGCGTGAGCTCTCCTCACATATTGCTAGGTGGCATTTGATCGCGTAGAATAAGAGGGCTTTAGCGGACTCGTGTATATTTCCCTCGGCCTGAATTATATTAGTTAAGCTACTTGCAAGCAGATTGGACATGATATACCTTGATTTCTTCGCTTAGGATGGGTATCTCAAGGTCAACCAGGGCAGACCCGTGAAGCCCACGCATAGCATACCCTAGCTGAACGCCATATCGCCGAATGGCTCCTCTACATCGAGGCTAATAGTGCTTATCACGTAGAGCCGCGTTTCTAACTTCCCGCTTCTCGCCCTCCGTCGCGCGAAGGAGATTATAGCCGTTTCCTTCGAGGTTGAGTGCTTCGGGGGTTGACATAAATAACCCTATATGGTCATTAAGCACGAGCTCGCTTGAGTGAATTTGATCATTATTAGCCAGGCTCGCGTAGTCTTGTAAGCTGAGGAAATACAAGTCCTATGAGATCAGGGGAAAGTGATAGGAGTTATGCGGGGAGGTCGACGGAGTGGTTGGGGCGGGTGTATTGACATTGGTTTCGGATCCGCTATCGTATGCCTCTGACGATACGCATCTATACGCTATTGTGAAGACGAAGACAATGTCGGGAGCTCGGGTTGACCACGCCGGGTTTACCTTAGGTAAGGCAGAGCGAGGAGCAGACCGAACTTATAGTTACTCTAATCGACACTTATAACGGAATACGCGGCCTCCGGTGGTATGTAGAAACTGATCGACAAAGGAGGCTCGTTGGTTGACATGATCATGTCCGACCCGGCGTGATTGAGGACAGAGAGCTAGGTCGATAAAGGACTGGGCACAGATTTTGTAGAAAGAGGCTAGCAGCACCGGGCCCTATATGGCGCGTTGCACCCAGCATTAACTGATTTCTAGCCCACCTCCTTTATGTACGTGATTCTACGCTAATAGTTGGATTACCTGATGTTCGGAAGCCGATACTTGACTCTAATTTGCGAGACGGACTTACACTAGTTCGTCTTGTGGTGTGTAGCAGCCCGAGGAGACAATACTACCTTGTTGCGGCTAGAGGACAGATCTACAACTCGACACTCGAGATAGACCTATTTTACTACTACGGGAAAGATATTTTATGCGGCGTTTATGTTACGATTGAAATACAGAGAGACCTCCATATTTGTGCTAGAGTATTGGAAAACTCGATAAGAAAAACCAAAACCGAGGTCGACTCGTGATTCTTGCGGCTATGAATAGCCGATCGGCGCAGCAGGTGGACTAGACAAGTCCGTACGCCTTTTGATATCCTCTTTGACCTGTTTGACTAATGTTTGATTGCTGAGGATAATCCATGCATGGATGTGCTTCGAGTTCGTGTCTGTTAGCTCGATAATAGTTATGCCTAGATCAGGGATCTTACTAAATCTATGGCTGCGTCCGCACTTTTCTTGCTAGTGATAATATCCTTGATTTCAGCGGCGCAGAGCTTAATAGTATCTTCGCTATCGGGTGTGATCGTGTGATCTATACGCTATGCCTAGTCCGGGTGAAGCTGCGATAAATTGCTCACTGAGATAAAAAGAAGCCCCCGATAGGCTTTTATAAGTTTATAGAGCTTGTCTATATCGATTGCGGAAGCGTTTAAATAATATAATATAGCGCCGACTACCCCGTGGAGACCGAGAAGATAGTCTATATCGGAGAGTAGAATCGCTGCGTGCTTATCATTTGCAACCTTAATTGCGCGAGACACGTGGCTAAAAATACCGTCTCTTGTCTTCGCGTAGTCGCCGGTGATCTAGGTTTCGGATTCAGCTACCTTCTTTTGCGCTTCTAAGCACGACCATACCTTGATAAGTAGAACCTTTATGTTATTAGCGATTATCTCTGCGAAGACTATGTTTTTTATTATATTTCGCTATATATCCACGTTTGGATTCTCCTTGTCCGTCGCCCTATGAATATTAGCTATAATACGTGCTTGATAATTCTACGGACCTGAGTAAGACTCTCGCGGAGACAGCCTCGCCTTTATTAAACTTTTAAGCAACTATACTTATAATATTGTCGCTATCTTCTGTAAGGCCTTGAATACCGCTCTCAGCCCACCTTATCGGCGTTAGATCCGAAAGCAGCATATATCCTAGGCAGTTAGCTAGTTCGTCTATATACGAATTTCACATACCTATTATTACGTCTAGACGAGAAGGAAAATATGCTTAAACTACTAGCAAATAATATAACGAAGACTAAGTGGGAATTCGAGTTAGGTTATAGTAGCACCTCAAGTCGAGGACGTCCCTCACGGGTGTTACTAGATACTCTTCGCTTTTATCGTAGTACCCTAGCAACACGGGGCCCAGGTGCGGAAGCGAATTCTATCCGTTCCGAATAATAAAGCTATTATGCTAGTAGCAGACTCGCGCACCTATGATAGGTATTATCGCCTTCGCTATAGATCGTAAAGTCCCTGTTGCCTTTTCTCCGTCGTTATAGAAGCAGAGGGGGTATACTTCGAAGTTAGTGATATGCCTTATTCCCTAATACTCTAGAATCATATATAGGTATCGATATATACTAAAATATACTCTTGTAAGGCAATCGCTGTCGAGTTGTATAGTGAGCCTGTCTTAAGTCGGAATAAAGCCCTAGAATATAGAGCTAAACATAGTATTAGACCCAGGCCACGTTCCGACGATTGTTTCTCCTAACTTGTATATATAAGGAAGTGAGTTAAAAGAAAATCGTTTTGTATTGATTTCCTTTGTTAGGGATTGCTAGAGAAGATCGAATTCTGAACGCAAGAACTTAAGAAGAGAGGGATAGTAAGGGATCATACTAGCATCGGTCTTAAGGTTCTCGACGCATAAGGCTTGGTATAATCTAAACAAAGTCGTGCGGTTGACTAAAACGGTGAGTATTAGATAAGGGCTAGATAATGATTTATACCTAAGAAGTCGCTGTTTGGTCTGAGGGGGCATTGCTAGCCAGGTACTAGGTTCTTGATCGTTTGTCGAAGAACTGTCGAGCGTGACCATAAAATACTTCGGCACCAGTGCGGTACATCTAATCGGCTAACGCTAATAGTTTTTCGAAGCTCCTCTGCGTCCTTGTTAACTCTGATTCTGATCTCGTAGAAGTCAAGTTCGTCTAGGGATAGCTCTTGAAGCTCACTTTAAGCCACTTCCTCAAAGATCCCATCTTCATCAACCGAAGCCCTTCTGATGTCAAAACTCGTGTGATCGTCCGGATGGGTATACTTACACGAAGAAAGTCCTTGGATTTTTAGGTTGCTGCTTTATACTAAATATACGTAAGTGAACAAAGTATGCCGAAGCAGCGAAGAGTCGATCGTTTATATAGTAGTTTATCACAAGGGTCGCCATCTAACCGCTTGTTTCTCCGGTCGATTCTTAGGCCGCAATGTAAGGCAACTAGTTTGCCGCCCTTAAAAACGGCAATGAATAGCAGTATCACATACACCGACTTAGTTCTGGATTTTCCGGGCTGCCTATGTTATCTTATCTAATGTCGCTAGCTCTGTTGTCTCGCTTGTTCAGCCGTAGTAAAGAGATTGTGATAGTTATTTCCGCTAATACCCCGTTTACACAGGCTTTATTATCTAGGTGAATAGCTATATAGATTCCCGACTATCTCGATGCTATGATAGCACGTAGCAACCCGTAATAATGATTCGATAGTGACTATGGTCGTCGATAACTATTCCAGAGTAACTAGGCTCCTTAATCTCATCGTCGCTTCTAGCTCCTATGTCGTAGTTATAATTATGCGAATAATAGGAGGAGAGATCACGTGATAGGTTGCTCAACCCAAAGTACCACGAGCTAACCTAGCTAGGCTTAGTATCTCGAAGCGTCTCGACGCGGCATATAACTAGTTCTATCCATGCAGCGTACGTATATCTATAACAATGGCTTAAGAAGGATAAGGTTTCACGCACTATCTTATGAAAATCCGGAGTGCTTTATATCCCTGTCTTATATAGCCGTTCTATTATCTAGATTTCGCTATATATATTAACGAAGTATTCACTATATATCTAGTAACTTACTAGCCGATAAGCTTTAGTCTATAGGCTGCCCCTAAAGGGTTAGAGCGCCTTAGTTACTGTAGATTGTATAAAGCTTGGCTCGATAAGTACTCGACCTAAATGCTTTGGGATAGTTCGAGAGTAAGTATTATAGTTACGTATATATTCAGAAGATACGCTTTGTTATTGCTGCCGTAGCTAGTAGCAAGCTATTATAGTAGGCCCTGCTAGGATAGAAGACCGCGCCTAAGATTTTATGTATATCTATGGGCCTGTTGTTGAACCTAAATCAGCTGCGTGCTGAAACTACTCATGAAAGCAGAGGTTAATAATGGTAACTAGTGCTGTTCGGAAGAGAGCGACCTATAGAGTATCGCTGAATTTATAAACCTATAGTATTAGCTTCTAATATCACGGTATAGCGTGGAATTTTCTTACTATTCCTAAGAGTTAAGTTGCTCTTTAATGCCTAGGAACTCGCTGCTTTAGGGTATAATTTAATATATAGATTGCCTAATTATATTGCAAGGAGTCTTTGTTCTCCGAAGTAGTCGGTCGACGTAGGTGATTAAGAATATAAGCTTATAGAGGTTTACCGTGTCTTCGTCGGTAGGGGTGAAGCGATATTAAGTATACGTCTGGTAGTACGCTTATTTGTGGATGATTCTAACGTAGTCTTCCCCGGCGCTATTGCGAATGACGTAGCGAGATAAATTAAGATAGTTATTGAAACCGCTAATAAATACTACGAAGGAGAAGAGTATGTCGGCGACCTTCGATCGTTTATTCTGTTTAACGATATTATTGATGGCGTCTTTAGAGAAAACGAGATAGGTTGGTGGATACTCGAGGAACGCTCTAGCGTATTGGCTTGAGTACTGGAGCGAGTTGATGGTCGTGTTAGTTTCGGCCTTATTCGCTATCATGCCTAGGTCTCATAGATCGGGTTCTGAAGAGAGTAGGTTAGGAACGAAGAGAAGAATGGGACCATGGTTCTTATTATACGCAATAAAAAATGGGTGAAGGACGGATGCTGCCTGTCATGCTCATAATGCAGCGTTGTAAAAGAGCTCACTTGATCTTGTCGTGCATAGGTCTTGTTAAGTTCCGCGTGCTTGCTATCCAGGTTATTCCGGTGCTGGCTCGGCTTGCGTCATCCGTGTACCCGTCAGTCGCCGCTGCGCTGGACTCCCTATCGTGCCTGGCGGGCTCGCACGTGCTGGTGGTGAGCATGAAGAGCCATGCGCAAGCAAGAATTAAAGAGCAACAGCTATAATGAGAAATCTACTACGGTCGGAATAAAAGTGATGGACTTCCCTCAAATATATTTGCGGCCAACTCCCTGCGCCAAAACCAATTAAGACTAGGTCTCTTCGATTTGCCAAGGAAGATTGTCTCCGTTGTGATATCCTCTAGCCTCTAACCGATTGAGCTCTGTGAAAAGCTTACTCATGAGCGTTGAGATACTGCGTGAAGTTAGTAAGCCTGCGTTTCCGGAAGGCACCGTACGCACTCACTTATCCCATTCCGTATCAATCGAAGTAGGCCAGAGCTCTCTGCCATAAAGATCCAAAAACTCAGTAGCAACCTCCTTCATTGCTTTACTATCAGAGTCGAATATTTCTGTTGCGTTGAGCTGGTCGCCAGTCACGTATTCGCGCCTGAACATATCGGCCTTGGTGAAAATAGCTTCGACTTGCTCAAGACTTACAAAAGCCCGGGAGGAGGACATGTCGAGATAAAAAGAGAAGGGCGGAATTTCTAATCTTTGCTGCGTGTCGGCGAAGCTTTTAAGGCCTTTTTGCGAGGAAAGTATGAGCACACCGAAAGTAGAGCTGACTTGCCCCTTGCACAAGACCAACGCAGATGTGCTTATAGGCTTGAACTCTGTAAAGGAGCCGTTATAATAGTTTCTAGATAGCTCTGTCCCACAATGGACTACTCTCCCTTAGGGTGGTACGGGACGATTTTCGCTAGGACTGCATCATGTTCAAGGATTGAGATGGTCACGAGCTAGTCATCGACTTTGACTATTGCGCCTTCGAAGAAAACTCCTTATCCCACAAGCATGGCGATGTTCACCGGAACGGGTGTTTATTGCAAAGTACTCAGAGAGCAATTTGTTCGAAAGTGAAAATTATCGGCGGTCTCGTGTAACGGCTACGCCTATGCCGTTGCGCCAAGAGCAAAAGATCAGGCATTGGTTGAATGACATGCGATCAATACAGGCGCAAAAGTTGCTTATAGGGGGTTACGGGGACCGAACCACAGCTCGAAGCAATCGAGTGGACAATAGATCGAAACCCCTATTGCCTTCCCCTTCTTCGGCTTCGAAGTAGGACAGTCGTCGAGGCTAAATTCTCTCTTCTTATGCCCAGTCGTAGTGCTCTTTCTTGTCTCTCTCGTGATGGGATCGTACTCCGTAACTTCTGTGGAATAGAATTCGCACATTCTGGAAATAGTTAGCATAACTGACTGACTAGCAGTGGAGAGACCTACTTCGAATATGGTGTGCCTAGTAAAATGTATGAAGTATGAATCTAAAGCAAGTTCAGTCATGTCAGACCTCAGGCCTCTCATATACCCAGCATTGTTAGGAACGAGCTTTTCCACTCACAGATTCCGCAGCCCAAAGTACCGTGAGGTTCAACTCGAGCGGCAATATCTCTCGAAATCGGGGGGGATTGAGTGAGATCTTCCACTGAAGACTGAGACCTGCGCTCAGCCATCTGGAAGCACTATCGTGGGGTATCGTACGCGTGTGCATGAACAAGCATTCAATCCGGTGCATGAATTAGCCTAGCTGAGAATGCAGAATACGTAGTGAAACCTAAACTATGAACGGGGAACCAATGAGGACGCGTGAACTGTTGGAATAATGGAGCATTATAATATAGTAAGAAAGGTGCAGTTGTCACAAGGCCTGATTGTGTTATATTGATTGATGTTCTGATGAAGTGTCCCCCAAAATCCCTCAAGCTGTAAGCCCCTTACAAAATCCTTCATAGATCCACACCACACCAGCCACACATTATCCATACGCTATCCAACAGCAGTATGCGTGGTAAAAATAGTGTCTGACAGAAAGCACACATCTCGGGACCTCCCTCGATCTCACTTCAAAGTGCAGTTGCCATAAGCAGACTCATGATCATGAGATTGGAGCCTGAACATCCAATACCTCACACGGACATCATCCTCCTTTTCCGGCCGCTCCCCAATTTGCTTGCGAGCTCTGTCAAAAGCATCAAGCACCGACTGAAGAGACCTCCAAGACGAAGGTGTCCTACCCTGCAGGAGATCGACGAAGTATGTTAAGTCGGCGTCGGAATGTGTTAGGGTGCCGTCGAGAGGGAGAGATTCGACGGCACAGAAAATTGACAGTAGGGATTGAAAATAGTCACTCATTAGGTCCTGATCTGATCTGGAAAGTTCTCGTCGTAAGTAGGATTTAAACCTGGACGAGGCGCGGTGTAGGTGACGTTGAAAGTCGACGTCGGATGGACCATTGGCGACGTACCACAAGAGCCCTAGTATGTCATGGAACTGGGATGGGACTTGAATATCTCCACAAAGCGCGTTTGTTTTCTCTTTAATCGTCTCAGCTTGTGCTTCGGTGATATGGAGTCCAACGAGATCAGGGAGTCGCTGCGGACTGTTAGTTATGACTTGCGACGGAGGGTTGGCGTACCAAGTTGAGGGGAGAAGTAAAACCGCCATTCTCCATCCATTCTTTATATTTCAGCGAGAACAGAACATCGTCTGGCGCGGAAGACCAATAGTCTGGTTTATCAAATGCAGGCCTGTATCCGGTTGCGATCGGCCGCTGTCCTTCTTGGGTGATTCTCGTGACCAACTTTCCCCCTGTTTCGTAGACCCATGGTCCCTGTGCCTTAAAAGTCCCGAAAAGCTTGCTCAAGACATGAGCAGACGTTTGGCGACTTCGAGGAAACGAAGACTGCCGCGACAGTTCTTGGCCACCGCATTGGACCAATAGGGTTCTCAGAAGGGCGATCGCATGTAAGGCTTCTGCCATGGACATTTTGTCAAGGGCTCGAAGAGTCAAGTCCTCCAGATCATCGCAGTTTAACTTTGTGGCGTGAATAAATTTGTCATCGTGCCCAGATGAAATGGTAGCGTAGTGTAACAGGCATCGCCAGAACCCAGATCGGAGGCTTTCGTTTCCCTAGATAAGTTAGGAGCCATAGTAATAAATAGAGATTGATAATATGCCTGAGTATCATCGAAAACGTATCGCAACTCCAACCACAATAAAATCGACTCCACACGTTCACTAACAAACGAGTCGATGAAGAGATTATTATCCTTCAAGTGCGTCTGTATATCCCTGGCAAACTTCTGCTGCTCATCAGCGCTGACCTGTTTCAGTAGAGGCGCCTCGCGCTTCATCGTTGGGAAAATGTCCTTGAGAACGTAAACATGCCAGTACCAAAAACGCTGGAAAGGAGTTATGTAAATGCGTGTTGCAGACATGACTTTGAGATCGTTGCATGAAATCAAGCATGGTAGCCATTTCTCATCAGCGCCTTTATCACTCTTGGTGCTGTTTGATAGTTACCATAATGCATTAGGAACATCCAACTCATCCGAGCGACTCTTCGAGCGACTCGGTCGAAATTCGGGAGTGTTTGTCGGGTTAAGCAGTGGGGAGGGAGACCTGTGTTCAGAGTAAGTGCTAGTTCACGAGGGGCGCAATTCTGCCTACCTTTTGCGAGAATCCATTGTAGAATAGAATACAGTGGCTCTAAGGTCGCGAAGTTGTCGAAGAGTGTTCGGAAATGGATTTAGCAGCGTGTCCATGAAGGAACCATGTGAAGCATGAGGGTCGGCAGCAGCGACGGCTATATATCGAAATAGAACGACCACGGCGCATGCACGTATCCTGGCACACGACTTTCAGCTCAGAGCAAGCAGCATGGCGGCATACGGCTGGTCGATTCTGAGGCGACATATCGCGGAAAATATAGGAAATAGTACAAAGCAATGACAAGAGACATTCTTCGTAAAGAATGGTCCTATTTGTTGTGGATCCGATCATGTGATCAAAATCTAACAATGATATTATTATAGGACCGTCAGACTGGCTAAATATTTCACAAAGTGCATAGCTGTCGAGGGAAGAACGGTGGAATAATGTAATGACAGGGAGGCTGTCTTATGAAGCGCTATGGTACATGTATGGTGACTGATGCAAGCAACTCATTGCAAAAAGGCGGAGTCCTACATATCTTGTGGTGTGGGCGTAGCTCCATACTCTGACCGCAAGGACCGCTCCGAGTCGAAGTGATGTAGCTGTGTGTGCGGTGACCTTGGCCTTGTCAACTCGGTTGTCGATCCATCCCCGTCACGCAAATTGGTTGATACAAGTTCCTGCCATTGCTTCACAACCTTCGGCAGGGCCAAAGTTGCATATAGAGGGCTGGCAGCACATTGAGGCAGCAGATGCCATGGCAACCCACCACCTAAGTATCCCGCAAGGAACCCAGCCGAGGCCAGAGATACCAATGAGCCTGTAGCTATGCGGGTTGAAAATTCCTTCCCTGTCTCATACCCGGAGTTGTCATACCACCCATAACAAGCCGTGAGAACGTATGCCACCCGGGGGCCCAAGGGTGCTGCCCAAAGCCACTCCTGTCCAGCTTTGACCAGCTCAACAACTCCAGGGCAAACGATCCCCAAATAAACCAGTAGTCCAGTTATAGGTATTGTGTCAGGCCAATACAGGTCTTCTGCATATTTCACGCTCTGGCTGAGGGGGAAAAGGAAACACAATCCCTGAGCTAGTCAGTATCATCCGGGCCCTTTGGTTGAGACGTACTTCGTTGAAAGTGCATGACAGCAAAATCATACACTCCTAGGCTCTGATCCAGCTAGGATCTTTGGTAAAGGCGTAAGCCACTGCAAAGGCGATCCCGAGTGCCATAGGCAAAAAGATAAGAGCAAACACCGCTCTCTTTGCAGATACCGCGTACGTGGGGCGGACAATGACTATGCAGCAGATGATGTCCTATACTAGAACGAGGCCGGAAGCGCAAGCTGCTTCCAGGAGCTGGTCGTGGTTCGCAAGAGGCATGATGAGGCGGTGAGAGAGTCATTGTGCAAGAACTTTGATCTTGCCGGGGCACGATGTATATAGCTCGCTATTCACACCTTTAAAGTAGGTGGGCCATGTGGTGATGTGCCGTGCCGTCGCACCAGTTGACCCGAGGGCAACCCGCACCCCTGCCGTCACAATTTGGATTCATACGAAAATGCCACAGGAGACCAAGACGCATGGGTGCCGGCCGACGGGCATGCCAGCCGCAACAGAGAGTCCCATCACAGTGTCCCATAGCTGAGCCTCGCTGGGGCGCTCATGACCTCGGCTCCACACACACTCGAATATACCCCTGTTTGTAAAGTTCAACTTTTACAAACATGGGTATACTTGAGTGACTTCCATGTCGTCTGAGCACTTTGATTCTGGTGACCTTCTACTCTGTCTTCCGAGTCGTGGCACGATTCTCTGATTCACACTGCTACGCTCCACCTTCTGAACAATGGCCCCTCTGATTATAGCTTCGGATGCTGCAGAGGTGAACTTACCTAGAGAGGCGGGAGCCGTTTCTCTTATCATTGAATTTCCTAATGGCAGAGTTGCCGCAAATTTAAGCCTTAATTTGTTAAAGGACACGAGCCACGTTCTGAGCAGCGCTACGTGGCGGCCGTACGGTCCAAACCCAATCCCGGACGAGACAACGGTCAATCGTCGCCTCGATGAAATCCATGAAATAGCTTTTAAGCGGGGGGGGGGTGGTTGAACATAGAGTGAGTAAAGGACTCACGTAAGCCTTTGATTCAGCTAACGACTATAGACGACGTGTGGAACTTGTTGGCGACGAAGAGGGCGAGAATTCGCCAGATTACCAGACAGACCACCATGGATTAAGCCGACCTCCTCTAGATGCCGAGAAAGACGAAGCTTAGCAGCTTGCACGAGAGCTTTATGATCTTGTCAAGCCTGAGGAGGCCATGCCAGGCGCGAAAAGAAAATCACGCCATATTATGACCAAGGCTACGGAACTAAGAAAGAAACTAAAACAGGCGGTTTTCTCTGCGGAGGAAGCCAACGAGATCATCGAAAAGACGCAGCTTGAGCTCGAGCCTAAGTGCTGCGCTACTCAGCTAGTAGATGACTGCTCGTTAGGGATGACTATTCTCTCCGACAAGCCAAAGCATTATTTTAATGCTCTTACGGACTTGTTCAATTACCAGTCAACCAGGAACGGGGACTAAGGAGACTAATTAGCGTCTCTACTAGAGTAATAGCTCAAAACGCACCGTGACGCATCTAAAGATGTGCGACGTGAGGCGTCGAAAAGGAAGTTTGATATAAAGACCCTCGCGGAGACTGCTCGAATAATACATCGTGCACGCACGGAAAGGAATCCATACACCTAGGAAGAAGGGCAAGAAGAGAGACGATCATTAGAATTCCATTAGATCTTGGATTCTCTCTACTAGACTAAAGGCGCTAACGCCTAGGTATACTTCGCCTCTTTGCGAGCAAGGGGGAGCCTCAGCACGGGATTAACAAAGTTAAGGCAGAGCGGGATACCGAAATTTCGTGAGGACGCGCTGGAAGGCTTGCGGGATCTCAAATTTCATAAACTACCTAACAGTACCCCCATTTTCAATCATCTAGCTTGGTTAGCATGGCTTTTAGGGTCTAGGTAAGTTAAACGCCTAGTAAGTTTTCGGTTAACTGACATAGCAATAGCTACAGAAGCGTTTGCGATGATTTAGGCTTGAAAAACCTGATTGACGAGGATCCAGACGTGACTTCTTAGTTAGACCGACTTTCGGCGCAGTATCATAACCTGGCCGATGCGAGCAAGATTGAGGAGGAGGTACATGCAACTCTCACGATTCCCCTCGGCCGTCTGAGACAGATGTATTAAGAATCCTAAAAGACAGACTATCGGTGTGTATACTATTCCGCAAATCAGGAGCCACCTGCCGAGTTCGCCACGCTCACACCCTCCCCTATGCCACGAGGTGTGATCTTGCCTACATTGGGTGGCCAACGCCATAACTAGTGGGATACTTAGCTTCCTAGTCTCTGCCACATCACCGGTGTCGTTCCGTCCTTAATTAACCCACCCGCTTTAAGCATAGGCAGCGCCCCCCGCTATGAGTCTGCCTTTGCACCGTAAAACGTCGAATCTTCTTCGCTTCTAGGTCTCGCAAATGCCGCCTTAACTCAGCCTCGGCAAAACCAACCGTTTTCCCACCTGGGTTTCACGGGCGATGTTAGTACCCCGTAATTGGCCCTCTCAAATAACACAGCATTGAGCAGCCTGTCAGAGCGCCAACAACGGGACCTCAGCGTCGAATTGGCTCCTACGAATGACCACTCTATATAGCCTTCGTCTGCGGTATATAACACTCTCTCTTTAGGCTCACTTGATCCCTCACGAGACATGTGTGGCTAGTCAGTCTGTCCGCTTTAAGAAGGCCTATCACATTTTGCTTATAGAGACAACAACCCAGAGACACAGAACGGGCTGCTGGCTGCTGACTTTGTGTTCCCGGATTATAGATTACTAGACTTCGCTTCTGAGACGCACGATATATTGGCTGTATGGGGTTCTCTATCCGTTTCTGTGGACGTAAATTGGGAGACATGGGGATTAGATGAAACACCAAATACTTACCTATCGCAGGATCGGGTAAGTGAGTGGGAATAGCTTCTGGGGAGGATATGGACGAAAAAGGGTTGACCAGACGGGATTTGAAAGCCCTGGTATCGCGATCAATATTGGCTATCAATCTCTGCAGCGCACAAACACAGGCCTAACTTTGTTTCTGATCTAGTCTCTTCGTTCCAACTGGCATAACCATGAAAATATCTCCTGTAGGTGTCTGGAAATCGGCCCTAGGAAGCACTAACACGATTCGAGAGTTAACCTGCACTATCTTGTCCGCTAGATCGACGCTGATCTTCGGGCTGCTTTGTGCTAGTAGTAGTACGATGGCTACCTCATTAGGCTTTTTGGTATACCAAGAATCCTCTTTTAGCTCATATATCGCTGGTATTTTGGCTTCGTTGAGGGATAAACTATATTCTTCCGATAACTTTGTCGAGATTTTAAGCTCCTGCGAATAATATTAGACGAGTATCCTAACGTGAATCTCCGCGCATACCTTAGTTTCTATGAAATACTTGAAAAGTTCCTTGGTTTCTTTTCCATACGATCGCCTATATAGGCCAAGGCTTCGCTAGGGATCGTGGCGAGATTTGACCTCCTCTCGCCCTGCTCCTTGGGCGGTAACCGTGGCAGCTGCCACGAGCTCTTGAAACTTGCTATCCATTTGGAAAGTGACGAGATATCTATTGTGTTCCATAATTTAGCGGGTAGCGATTCTTTTTAAGTACTCGAGGTTGTAGTAAATTGTAAGACATCGTCCTCCGCGGGGTTAACTGACTTGAGAGTGGGGCGCTGCCCGACACATCATCAGCCAATAAGAGGTGTATATAATCCTTACGAGCGATTGTTACGACTCGACATAGGACCGTATGCCCCTTTATTTTCAACCAACCACGGTGGATCATCTACGAAACACCATGATCCGGACCATTGCGCTCATCGTGTGAGCCTCATGATCTGTGGGTATCATTCACAGAACGATCCGCCTACTATAGAGGAAGCCTGGCTTCAATATAGTCAGTCTCTACCTAGATACTCGGCTATCAATACAATTGCCAACGCATAGAATACTTCCACTGCACTCGAATGTGACTACGACCGCTCGAACTAACTCTTGATCTACCTACCCGGTAGCTGGATCAAGGCCGAACGTCACAGCGATCCGCGATAACTGCAAGTTACGCGTGCATGCTCAGATTATCAAAGTTTGGGCCACATTTTTATATTCAAACTAGTTCACTATATCCCTAGAAAATTACCAATCTATTAGTTCATAATATAGAGGTTTTGTCGGCGCAAAATTACTTACGATGCGTCAATCCCAAATTCGTTCCGGAGTATTTAAAGCGTAAGTGTATTTTATAGCATACTAGTTATGAATCCTTCGCCCTAGGGTGGTTCTAGAGAAGTGTTAGGAGTTTTGCTACTACCCCTTGAAACGTCGGTGTCCGCATCGTCTTCTTAAGCTTCCAAAGTTTTCTAGCTTATATAGTCTTCGCACGGTCCGCTTATAGCTTTCTCGATCGATATTGAACCGGATGCTGAGGATTCGACGTCTACTAGCGTACGACGAGCCGTAATGCTTGACTACGACGCATCGCCGGGAGATTGACTCGGCTTCAAATTGGGTTGGAGCATGCTTTAGGCAGCCGCGACTGATGAATTAGCGTGCATGTGGTTCTTCGGTGCCGCTTCGGCTAATACAAGTAGAGAGCTAGAGAGGAAGCCAGCTAGTTGTGTCTCCTTGTCTTAGGCTCGAGATTCTAGAGGCTCCGATGACGCTGACGTCCCCGTCACTTTCTCGGCAGGTGCTGGCATATCTGGCGATAGAAACGTTGGCCGTGTCGGTTTGTGCAAGTAGTAGAGTCCTTTGCGATGATATAGTCACTCTTTCATTGTCAGCTCTTGTCTACGAAAATGAAATTTAATCCGATTGCTCGAAATAACCCGAGGGATGAAAATCAAGGATATTCTAATATTAGGATCAGGGATATCGATTTCTCAGAGATACTTACAGCTTCTTCGACCTTTGCCTTAACTGATAGCAGAGGTAATGAGGGGAGGCAAGAGTGATAGTGCCTGGCAATTCTTCCAACATTGATAACAAAAATCCGGTGTTGAGTCTCTTATCGGCAATTCGCAGAGACACCAACACTAGCACACCAGCAGGCCGGGCATACTGAGTTATCCATATCCCCTGGTGCAAGTCGTGGATGTTTTATAGCTGATCTACGACCTAAAACGCGGCTGGCTGCTCGCATGGTTGCAGGGACCGTGGTCGTCCCTGGGCCTGCTGCCGCAACATGCTGCTGCGGCTCGGGACATGCATTAGTGAAATACCGACGATTCCTGTATAGGGGAAACGAAGGACTCAATAAAAGGTGGCCTATTGAGTGCAGTGTAGTGTGAGTGGAAGTTAAAGCCAACCTTTGTCTAGATCAGCGAACAAGAGCCATCGATCTATAAACCATATATGCCCGGATAGGCTTAGTTTGTACATAGTGTTACGTACGAAATGTACGAAATGTACGGAATGTACGAAATGTACGAAATGTACGAAATGTACGAAATGTACGAAATGTACGAAATGTACGAAATGTACGCATTAGTGCTCTCTGTTCATATGCTTTTGCCATCCAATCCCTGCGCATATGTTGCAATCCCTAATCCGATTTTCATAACCTCTGGCTGCGTCATTCTCATTTGCACAATGTGCAAACCGTGCCTTCGGGGGTCTTGCCAGTGCCGGAGCAGTTGCCACACTCAGGGTCGGCCATTGTTGATGTAGGCAACCTGTCATATATTAGTCACCATTCTATAGGTCACGCAGAGACCGTGCAAGTAGGTATTTGTACTTATCAAGCTGAGTACTGTATTTGCTTGGGTGAAAAGTGATGCCGGTACCTTGAGGAGCAGCGCGACGGCTATATACGGAGAACGAGGGTGCGCAACACATTTACCCCACCATGCTATCCGCGTGACTTAATTGCTCTCAATTACTACCTAAGTCATTTCGCCTTGTAAACATCGCCATCATAGATCATATGGCTTCGCCTGCAGATGACCCCTTTGAGCTTTCTCAGGTTTCGTCGTCGATATCTGCTGATGATACACTACAGTTCCTGGACACCCATGGAATCTTCTACCTAGAGGATGCAGAGATCGGACAACGGGTTGATGAGTTGTACAACACGAAACAAATCAGGACGGATGTTGCTAGCCTGGACTACTTTATGCCAGTCCTTGAGAATAACCCAGTATGTAAGACACGAACATCTTTGCACAGTTACTGACCACTTCAGCGTCTCAAACCAATTCTCGGAAGCTACTCGATACGACAGCCTAGGATTCGTTTTCCATGGGGCACGGTGCCTGGAGTTTGGTACAACTGGTTCCAAAAGTCAGATCAAGCGAAGAAGAAGCTTACTGCTTATATGCTGGGCTCTGGGTCGTTGTACAGATGTCTGGACGGTTCACTCATAATCGATTCTGACGGTGAGCTAGACGACCAGGGCTTCTATCGATATCCACCTACCGTTGCGGAAAATTACGCGACAAAGGAAATAAAGATGGAGAAAGGCGGCGCGTAAGATGACACTCCCCAGTTGCTTGCTAGTATATCAGTCTGACAACCAACAGTCTATTCATAATTAGGCGAGTTCTACACCAGGCTGAAAAGGGACGTTCAATGATATTTGCATTAGGAAAGCCTTGAGTTAGCGTGGCCTGCGATATCAACTCCTCTGCAAACGCATCTATGATAGTCAAGTACGACTTTGAAACGAAACCTCATGAGAAAACCATTACCGCTCAGTAGTCGTTCATTGAAAAAATATCTCCATCCTCGCCCATCACGTCATTTACGTGATTCTAGACTAGCGGGTCCCACCAGTACCTTTCGACTAGTGAGTTGAATCCATTGAGAGGATATGGTGTGGATTGGGATATAGTTCCATGAGCGACCTCCGAAGCGTTAAGTTGGGTAGAGTAAAATGGCGCTGATGGCATCCCCCCTGTATTCCGCGTAGGATCTGAAGATGACTGCCCATGCGCTTCGAATGGAACTGCCGGATGTTAGGACGTGGAGGCATGGCCCGGCTCTTTTTGCCTCACGCGCCTCCCCCGCTGTAATTGAGCATGAGTCATATCCAAATTCAGCTTCTTCGCGACATAGTTTTGCCGGTCCCTAACATCTTGCCGCGTTAGGCCATGCCCTCTACAGGTGTGGGTTATATATACGCTTGCCAGGGTGAATATGTCACCACATGATACGCAAACGTCGTTCCAAGTATAGTCTGCTTAGGTTGATCAGTCCACTGCCTGTTTACTTATATGGGTGTTATACGTGTCAAACGGTGCCGTAGTGCATGTTGTCCTCTGTCGAAAACCTTGTTACACCACTGCTCTGGGCATTTCCACTGCTTTGCGGCTGAGCGAGCCCGACTTTTTCTCGCTGATTCATGATCTGTCTCAGCTGTTGGAACATGTGTGTCTTCAGCGTCATGTCTTTCAGCTAGACTTTGGGCTAGCAAAGAGACTGCACACTAAATCGTGTCAACAAGCAGGCATCCGGCAGGCAGCAACCTTACCGAATGTCGAGTTAAGTGCGTAATATGATCTTCCGTTGATGTGATATCATCCAAACAAACTTGGCATTGCGTGGGATATTTCGACATCCTGCAGTGGTTGTATGATATATCTCTTGTGTTGATTGTTCGCGCATCGATGAGCTTACAGCACAGATTGAGACGGCGTGAACGACGTTTAGTAGAATGAGGTGTCTCGGATTAACTTTCGAGCGGCTTGGCTTTGGCTAAGCCCCGCTTCAGGTCAGGGAGCAAAATTCGCTTAGAACGTATAACTTGCGGCCATGCCAGAAGGCTGCCAGTGCACCGATGGTATATTTCCAACGGGCCAGATATGCCCCACACATGGGTCCAAAGAATGGGAGTGGCACCACCCAACCGTGCATCACTACTGCGTTGCAAATTGCTACAATATCACGCTCGAATATTGAGTTTGAGAAGTGTATTTTATGACCTATCCCGAAGAACAACTGCTACTTATCTATGTCCTCGACAATGTGCTTCTGAAGCTCACCTACCAGATCATCCCTTCCCAACTGTCTTGCAATAGATAAAGGTGTCCTGCCATAGTCATCTCTAGCTCCAGGATCAGCTCCTGCTTGCAGAAGTGTCTTCACCACGGGCATGTGTCCGTACGCAACGGCCCAAGACAACGCTGTCCTTCCACTTCGGTCGCGCCGTTCAATTTGGACGCTGCCAGTAGATATAAGAGCTTCGACTGTTTTGGGCGTTTCCTTCTGTATGCCCCACGCTAGGGGCGTCCACCCGTCAATGTCTTCCGTGTCTACTCCCCACCGTGCTCTGTCCAACAATTTAATCAGCGCATCGTGATGACCGCCGCCACAAGCCCAAGATATCGCGCTTCTCTTGTCTTTATCAACGCTTGCTATATCTACCGCTCTGTTTCTGAGGAGCACCTCGACCGTATCGGTACATCCGTTACCTGCCGCCCAGGAGAGTGGCGATTTTCCGCCCTTATCTTTGATGTTAACGTCTATGCCTCGCAGCCTAAGCAGATCTTTTAAAATATCAACCATTCCATCTCCGGCAGCCCATGATACGGCTGTACGTCCTGTTTTGTCTCGGTGATTGATATTAACATTGGGGTGTCTCGCCAGGGCCGAAACGATTGAGCGGTGGCCTCCACCCACTGCCCAAAGAAAAGGCGTAAACCCAGAGGCATCCGTATCATCAGCGTTACTACAATCTCGAGAAAGTAGCTCCGTCACGATGTCAATGTGTCCGTTGCCCGACGCGAATGACAAGGCAGACCTCCCATGTCGTCCCCGCCCAGAGATATTGGTCCGTTTGTCTCCTACTAATGCCGAAATGCATGACAAATTGCCGTGTTCAGATGCAGTGGTGACTGCGGTCTGTCTTTCTATTTCCTGCGAATTAGGATTCGCGCCAGCCACGAGCAGAACAGTAACAACCTGATCATGGCCAAGGCGGGACGCCCAATAGAGACCTCGATTCTTGACACTCTCGGTGGCGTCGCAACTATCAAGAAGATCTTGCAAGGTACGGTGTAGGTTGAAATATGCCGCCAAAACAATAGCATGCTGACTTGTGAGGTTGTCAACTAAGTCGGTAGATTGTGTGCGGTGAAATTGCAACCAGTTGCGACAGTATCCGCTCTCAACATTCAATAGTGTTTTGGCCATCTCTTTGAGCCTGTCGGATGCGCTTCCCTCGCAAAGAGCAAAATGTTCTGCCCAATGCAACGAGGCATAGCTGTAAAACCCGTATTTTGAGTTGATCGAATTGCAGATCTCTGGATTGAGCTCGTCTGGCTCACGAAACAGCGTATCGGATGTAAGATAATGTGCTTCGTCATCCCAGAAGTCCTCTGAAAAACCGCCCACAAGTAACTCTGCCTGAAGATCAGAATAGCTAAAGGTAGATTTACTAGATGGAGTGACTGGCGAAAATAGATCGACGCTGAAGTCATCAAGACAAATGTATTCCATGCAAGCAGAGGCCATTTGTAACGCTGAATCCTCCATGTTGACCAGGCGTGTGGCACAGAAGCTGCCGGGTATTTTGCCAGCGTCTAGAAGAAACTCTTTCAGCGATTGATGGATCAAAGACACATGGTATTCGGAGACACGTGCCAGAGGACCCAAGACTCCTTGGATGGTAAAGTCCATCGAACTCTGTGTGTCCCGAGTGACGTCCTCGTTGGTAGCATGGGACGCATTAATCGTGAAAGCGATGTTAATTTCGTTCAGGTGCAGGGGTCTTGAGCTTGCTAGCAGAAGCTTTAGAAATTGCGCAGCATGGTCCTGATGGCCAGACGGGATGGTGGCAAGATATTGCGTGTATGTATCCGCAAGTTTGTCGGGAATACTGCCGATGAGGGTTTGGATATCTCTCACGGAAGTCATAAGACTTTCCTCTAACGATACAAGAACGACATGAATCCAAAGGAACGATTGATCGGCTTTGGCGCGCAACGCGTTTAGCAAATATTCCTTGACATCGTTTGGATATCGCCGATTGAGAGATAGTTCCTCAACTCTCTGTTCGATGAAATTGTGCAAGTCTGCCACGTAGCCGGCCTGCCCCTCGTCGATAGATATCTGAGGCCGTAGGATTTGATTGGCGCTAGCATATAACCGATGGAAAAAGGGACGGCTTGTTATGAGGAACTTGACAATGGTACTGCTCTGTGCTGAATGTTGAGAGTCTGCCAGCATTCCGGAGATTGACTCGAGGAGCTGACGACAGGAGGATTTCTCACATTCGTCCAATGCATCCAGAATGACGTAGAAAGAGCCAGCGCGCGGATCTCTGACAATCTGGAGGAAAATACCCCAAAGCGCGGAGAAAGATCGAGTCATACTTTGTCCCTGCATCTCGAACACCCGCCGAACGTATCGAATCATGGAATGTCGGCGATTGATAATCTGGAGGATCAGGCTGATGAGTACTATTCTGGCATCCGTCTGTTTGCCATGTGTGCTGTCGCAAAAATGAAAGAGGACATTGTGGGATTTCTTTCCGGCCCAACTTTCACGAAAGTATTGGGCCAAAGCAAAAGATAGGATTGTCTTGCCGCAGCCAGGATGGCCTGTCAACCAAAGAAGAGCATTGCTGCTTCTCTCAAGCCAGGACACAAATGCATTGTGGGTGCGGATCCATTGGCAAGTGCCTGGGGTTGGCGTTGGAGGCTTAGATCTGTTCAGGTCTTCGTCTTCATCAGTAAAGGTGCTGGAGTAGAGTAGTCTCACACAGGCTCGTTCAGCTTCACTGAGGGCTTCAATACGGTCAGGATTGTATTATAAATATCAATCAGTAGGTAACTCACATCTACTCGACGAGTGAGTTTCCGAGCGCTGTAGTACTGAGTTTTGCTCTGCGGTTACAGACGCAATCCTTTTAAGGGCATTGGCTACGAGTTTGTAGCTCGTCGTCTCCCCAGAAAAGCGGCAGATAGTCCTGTGGTCCTCATTCAGAGGGATGACTTCCTCGTTCGGTATACCTAGCGTGGCAGATTTCTGGTCGACGATCTGCTTCCGTATTATTGATTTGAAACATGAGGCCTCTGGACAAGAGTTTGTTTACTCACAAGCGAGGACAATGGAGCTATCGGGTAGTTCTCAAAGAAAGAGACGACCGAGAGCTTTGCCAGCCGGTTGCGAGCGGCCAAAACAAGGCTATAGAGCGCCTTAGAGTCAGAACGAATATGGTCTAGCAGATCGGTTCTGGCTGTCCTATGTCGTATCCCGGCTGATGCAGTTACCGTAAAAGTATTGACAATCGTTGCAAACACGCTAACGATATCTGCAACACCACTGCCTCCGTGAGGAGTTCCCAGAAACACCACGCCGATTACCGATTTCAACACGAGTCCATAGAGGTTATCATCCTCGTGGGCTATCACTAGCGCCTATTTGCGGTAAGCTCATTGGTTGGCACAAGCATTCAGCTACGAACCTGCTTGCAAACGATGCCACCAAGGCTGTGACAAACAAAGATGATCGGACGCTGACCCTGGCTTCACATTAGTAACGGGTTGAACATCTGGAGTGGGTAGTGGTACAATAGCTGGGTCGTCCTGTATGTCTCTTATGTGGGCTAAAAGTAACCTTGCGGATTCGTGTACCCCTGCGAATGAGTCGGAGAAAACTTTTGAAGGGTAGCCGTACGTGTAGACCCGGCAACCAGGCAGAGACCCCGGAAGAATATCACGAAGCCACAGCTTTCCCTCTCCCTCTCCCTCTGGGAAATGGGTCCAAGTAGAGTAAGCATCTCCATTGAGGCCATGAATCGCAATGATGTCCACAGGGTACGTTCTTGGAGCCGACACATCTGGCTGGCCCTCGCCAGGGAAGAGGGGGATCAGACCGAGCTTTTCGGGAAGGGGTTCCGGTGCCCGTATACTTGAAGATGAATTGACAGGCCTGCTCGACGAATTAGAGCGCCTTGAAAGCTTGGACTTGAATCGTTCCAACATCTGTGCGGGAACTGAATGGCGCTCTCGGGAGTAGCCGCGCACTCATTACGCCTTATATTGAGGGAAATTCGAGCGTTCAGCGGGGTATCAAGAATTATTGACTCACACAGTGACAGCGGCAGATTATCGGATAACAACTTGCGTATCCGAGCGGAGCCTGTCACGTGCGATGCGTAAGCGGGCAATCATTTATCTGGGCCCAACGTAAACAGCGCGAACTGGTCTTGGACCACTCATCACCTTCTTGCTAACCATGATCATGGCTACCAAGACCTTGACAGTTCTTGGGGACGAGAAAGCCGGGAAAAAGACACTTATTGGATCCCTCATCTACAAGGTTTTATCTATGTCTCCAAATTTTCGAGTGGTTACTCACGATATGTAGTGCGGACTTGAACTAACACAACTGGAGGCTTTGGAGCGTGAAGGAGTGTCACAACTCAACGAGATCGTACCATTCTATGAGAAAAGCAGTCGCGTCCTGTCGTTCTATGCTCCATCAGGGAGAATTGTCGTCGAGAGTATGTCGTCAACGTTCTTGCCGTTTTCAGCAGTCCTAAACTAACGCATCAGTTATAGAAAGCAAGGAACCTGATCTTGCCTTCTGGGTTTTAGATGCTGCCGCATCGATGAACTGGAGGTCCTCGGCCGAGGAGCTGAGGTCTCTTCTGTCTAGCGGCACACTCCAACCTCGAGAAAGGCTGCTTATACTAGTGAATAAGATGTGAGTGCAAGACACTGTTACTCATTTGCGACCTAGGCTTATGCAGTGACGGTAGGGATTTGGTCGGGTGGTCTGAGCACACCTTTACAGAGGTAGTGCGCACATTCAGTGCAGCCAACCTAAAGACAGATCGGTATGGAACACTTCGTGCCTTTATATAAAGCGTAACGTTAATGAAACTAACACATGCTTACCATAGGGCCTATATTCTTCCAATTTCCAGCCTCAAAGGCGACAATATTCTTGGACCGCTAGAAGGTTATTCGTGGATGAATGACCAATCTGCCTCTCATCCTAGCAGCTCTGTCCATGTGTCTGAGCGTTCATTGATGGATCTTTTACGCTAAAGGTGGTTTCTGAATTACTGCGGATATCGAAGACTCAGGGCTCTGTCGCGGAACCGGGAAGCGCGAAAGCATAGGCTAACCTGTCTTTGAGACGGAGTGAAAACGGGCCAATGCGGCAGACCACGTATCTACAAGCGGATCACGAAGTCTGCTCTCTGCCTCAATGACTGCCGGAGCGCACCTCATGTAGGATGGAGCTGTATATTGCGGCTTATTGCAAATCACCGTTCTACTGATGCTTCGTCCCGAGTTCTGTGTCCGGATGGCTCTCGCGAACTTGTAAATGGATTGGTCTTACTGCCTGCTTCAGATGATGGATTACCACCCTTTAGCGCGTCTTGTGGTCTTGCTCTTGCCCAAAGATTATTAACAGTAGGACGTTGAGGAGACGGAGTATCGCGAGGTCCCCATTTGAGCCTTGTCCTGTCTTCGGAAGTTTCGCTATGGACTGGGGCCGAGCCAGGTTCTCTTGAATCGCGGTACTCCTGGTCACGCTTCGGTCGAATTGGGTAGGGAGCGCCTTCGGAGGGGTGAAGCTGCGAACGTTTGATAGTTGGCGAGGTTGGTCGTCGTAGTGCCGGAATCTCTGGCGGAAAGCTTCAATGTTGTCCTCGTTAAGACCTAAGATCGCCTCTAACGAGTCAACGACACGTCTAGGATCGTGTTCATTGTCGCCATCGGAAGTATGTAATGGAGTAAGAGGAATATCGTAGAAGTCGGCAAGATACACTAATGTGCGATATTGATCATGGTTGGATAGAGTTCGAAGCGCGTAGAAGTCGTCTATAAATCGCGGAAAGATGTTAGAATCGGGTTGGATGATGCCTCCGTCGGGGTGAAAGGCAACGAGTGGACGAATAGGCGTAACTGGATTGCGCAAAGACGCGTTCCTCTGGAAAGCATTTGACTGTATACGATCGGCCTTGATTTCTAATATAGACAATTTGAGTTCCTTGATGTCGTCCTTTACGTCCTTTGTCTCAATTCCGAGGTGGCCGTGTGATCGGCGAACGGCATCAAATTCATGCTTTAGGAGTTCCGCTTGACGGTTCTGTAGGTCGATGTACTCGTCGCGTCGCAGGTAAGGTGACACGGTGGAGGCCATGGTAGTGGTCATGGTAGGCGATGCGGAAGTACCAGAGAGATGAGAGAATGCATTGACTCTTAGTTCCCTCGTCACCCGATCACGTTGGCGGAGATGGCACGTGCTGCTGACTCATAGATCGCTGGCCTGTACTGAGTCAACAGCTAGCCCCTGTCCAAATTCGGCCGCGAGATTTAGCTAGCGAACGACCACCGCCCATCGACAATTTACTCTCAATCACAAGGCTTCGACTCCCTCGACCGGTCCATTGGCAGCACTATGATAGTCAACATGTCTGCAGCGCCAAATTCAACCGGCAGCAATCAAGATTGGCATCTATAGATGACCGAAAACAAAGCTTAGGCGTTGGCCTGGGCCTCTGGCAAGTCATCGTCTTCCGATGTGAGCTCCTCTGGGCTACTCCAGTTGTCACGTGCATGGGCATCACAGCCGTTACTAGCTATGCGATGTGGTTATGAGCATTACCGCAGCCTGCGTGCGCGAGGTATGTCCGGGTTCACTTGGAACATCCTTGTAGGGTGCTGATCAATAAGGGAGTGTCCTGAAATTATGATACAGAGGAAGGCCCAGAACCCAGGAGCCCTATCAACATAACCCTTCCAGAAAGACACCCTAGGGCAATCATTGTGACTGTTGTTGTTGTCGATGGCATGGCAAAATATGAAATCGCCGAGGTAGAAAACCGACAGTCAGGTGGAAGCCATAGTACGTTATGTTCATTCCAGGTAATCCAGGATTTATCATGGCTTAGGCCGTATTCATGGCGTTGTGCTTGCTCTGGAACCGGAGCTCGAGACGAAGCTTCAGTCCTATTAGCTAGTTCGAGACGGCCGATATCTGTATCTAGGCGTGAGCTGGTATTGTCGAATGATAGATTTGTGATTGCAGCACCAATATCGAACGTCTGTTGAAGGGCCCCCGTCGCTGTATCCCAAAGCTTGACGGTGCGATCACCTGACCCCGATGCTATGAGCTTGGCGTCGGGCGAGAAGGCGATAGAGAAGACCCAGTCACCATGGCCCGCGAGCGTCTGTTCAAGGGCCCCCGTCGCCGTATCCCAAAGCTTGACGGTGTGATCACTTGACCCTGATGCTATGAGCTTGGCGTCGGGCGAGAAGGCGATACAGCTGACCCAGTCGCTATGGCCCGCGAGCGTCTGTTGACAAGAACTCCAGGCGCTTTCCACTATAGGCTTTATCTTTATCCAGTTTGGCTCTTCATTCTCGAATATTTTTCGTAGTAAGCTATTAGCTGGGCTGAATATAAGAGCCGACTCATATGTCTGGAGTGGAGCGTTCTCAATGACCCATCTATTCTGGAGGATAAACCGGCGTGAGTCCTGGACAAGATCTACTAATTGGCGATCCGACGACTGTTCCTATCCTGGTTAGCTTCACTATTACAGCGCCGGATGTACACTGACTTTTAGCAGGTTCTCGAGTCTTGTGATCAAGAGAACGCCGTCTCCCATGTGTCCCATAAGACTCAATGCCTCGAGCCAGTAAAGGCAAAATTGCCGAAAGAACCGGCCAATAGGCTTAATATAAGAGACACCTTGATCTATAGGACAGCTACTGCTGTAGACATGTTTGAAATGGCCGACCCAGTGGACGCAGGACTACCGTATGGCCGCTAATGGATCTGGGTCTGGTATCTTGAGCTTGTCGATAGGGAATCCGGGATAGCGCAGACCGTAGATGTCACGCTTGAGTGTCTCTTGCATAGCCTGCAGGGACCGCCCCAACATACCACGATGGACGTCTATTTGACCAGTGGGGAAAACTGCGGCGGCTGCTTTGTCGCTTAAGTAGTCCTTGGCCGACTGGTGAATGACATATACAAAGTTGTCCTCCAGGACCGTAAGGAACGAGCCGCACAGAGCTACCACTTTTCGAACGGACGCCGCGTTAGCTGAGATCTCCTTGGGTAAGCCCGATAAGACCCCCAGTTCAGCGAGGTGGAGCGGACGATATGCTACGGTAGCTGCCGAGAGCACGAGCCGACAGAACTCAGGGTCCCTCCTTTTCAGCTTTTGAATCTGCTGCATCATCCGAGCATAGAGTTCTTCTAGCGTCGGCGGCATTTCTTCAACTACTTACAAAGCATGCATTTTGGAGTGTGCGATCTGGCGGGCTAAGTCACCCTCTGATGGCTGAGCTGTTGGGGTATTTTGTTGTTGTTCCATCAGGTGGAATGCAAGCGACTGTGGCGCATAAAAACGGGACGACTTGTTCTCTTGTCTGTCCATTTTGTAACACAGTTTTTAATCCTGTACTAACTTCAAAGAAAGATTGTGAATTCTTTGAAGACCTTATTTCGACGTCAAAACACCAGGAGACGGCCACCGGAGATAGCTCCTGACCTATGTGTATAACATCCTCATGAAGGTTCGTATGGCGATACAACAAGGTTGATTGAACTCTAAAGCTCTTCGTGAAGTAAGTGTCTGCTAAACTAATCGTAAGGATCATAGCCACATCATATTTGACCGGTGCACTTCCATCCTGTTCATTGCGTTTGTGCTCTTGAAATGCTCGTCCGTAAGCCTTCTGACGCGGAGAAACCCCGGATCCCGCTGACCCCACTTCAACAGCGCGTTGCGAGGTACAGTATATTCCGATAGCATTCTGACCCGTGGGCTTACCACGAACTTCCACAGGCATCTACGTGTTCAAAACAAGTTGCTGTCACACTTGGTGATTTTAGCAATCAGCAACAGCAATCACGTTTTCAAATAAATACAATGGAGACGATTGAAGATTTAAGACGTCAACTCGAAGAGGAGCAACGCCGACGCGAAGAAGCTGAGAGTCGCGCAAACCAGAATGAACGTCGACGAGACGAGGAACAGCATCGACGCGAAGAAGCCGAGAAATTGGCGATAGAGTCGCGTCCACAAGCGCTTCAGCAATACATCGAGGCTTGTCATGGGCTCGACCTTGCTGCCGAAGTGATTACCGACCGCTCCTTAACGACCCAAGGAGATACCACGAACCCAACCGGCCGAATTTTCCCTCGTCATATCATTCCCTGGATCGATTTCGAAACACGACAAGAAGAAACATAGCACGACCTCTCTATAAGCGACGCTTTCTTCTCGAAGCATAACCTTCCCTCCCTGCATCAGATGGAGTACGTCAAGTCATTGGTCAAGCCTATCAGCAGTGAGATCGGGCTGCGCGACTTTGAACGTGATATCGTGGAAAACGCAGTGGAGAAGTTGATCGACACAGTATCCAAGGACACACTCCTAAGGCGCCGTCTTGGCATTCGCGGCACTGTGACTTTCGAGAGCCATACAAACCTCGGTGCCAGTCCAGATTCCATCTCCGAGCCAATAGAGCACATGGCTGTTAGGAGCATGGGTGCTCGTGCTACAGCATCGGCATCAAAGCCTTCTACGGCACCAAAGGCACGTCGCAAAGCAAAAGGAAAAGGCAATCGAGCGGATCAGTTCTGCATTTACAAAACCGCAGACGGTCAAAAGATCCCCACCATCGTAATTGAATACAAGGCGCCCCATAAGCTCAGCGTCGATGAGGTTGTCGCGGGCCTGGAATCAGGAATTGAGCCAGAACGCGACGTGATAAATCAAGATGGAGAAGGTTTTTCGTTCACGAGCCGACGGCTCGCAGCGGCAGTCGTGACCCAGCTCTTCTCCTACATGATCGGCAAAGGCATCCAGTACGGCTATGTTTGCACTGGACAAGTCTTCATCTTCCTTCATATTTTAGATGATCCCTCCGTTGTCTATTACTCGACGTGCATACCGAAGCTGGACGTTATGGAGGACGACGAAACAAGGCTCCATCGCACGGCTGTTGCGCAAGTCTTTGCCTTCATTCTCCAAGCTCTCCGGTCGAGGCCGCCTCTAGAGTCGTGGCATGACGAAGCTGACCGGCTTGGTACCTGGGCTATTGAATATGAGTAAATTCTGTATAGTATTCCCACGGCTGAGCGCAAAAGCAAAAGGTCCCGCGTATCTATGTATAAACCTCAGCGGTGGAAAGGCTTCAAAAGATCGCCAATTCGCACCCGGTCTAAGTCTACCTGTCAACAGCCAGCTTACGATGACAATCACACTGATGATGACCCTCCGTCTCCTTCACCTCATCCGCGCAGCGGCAGATTTGCTACAGACCCTGTGGTCGCTGAAAATGGAGGCGATCCGGAGGGGAGAGAACAGGAGCAGAGCTTAACACCGAAGCAGAACATACAAGATCGACCTTTCTGCACTCATTCATGTCTAAAAGGCTTGGCATGTGGTGGGCCAATGGACGATTCTTGCCCTAACCGTAACTTTCACGGGCAGCAACACGTTAAAAGATTTATCTTTCTCCGTCTGATACGAGATTAACTTGCCAGGGATCGTGGCCGCGACGCCGATTGTATGTCGATGAATCGAGCTGGGGCGCGGGGCTCGCTTTTCAAGGTCCGACTGTCGTCTCACGGTTATACGTTCGTTGCCAAGGGTATGGAGACCGTTAACGAACGTTTTCTACGGCGTGGGAATGCGATGTATGATCGACTCATCGACATATAAGGGACGCACATCCCGGTGTGTATTGGGAGTATAAAGCTAGTCCGGCCATGGCATTACGACGGCCGTGTTAACTTCTATTTTATGTTTCTTAGCTAGGCCGGCCGACCCATACTTGAATATCCTGGTCGCCTGGACGAAGCGACAATCGTTGACGGTGTTACCACGATATTCAATGCCTTGCACAACTTGTGCGCTCTCTATCATGATGCAGAGCCGCGGAATATCTTATGTAATGAGAACGGAAAACTCATGGCGGTAGATCTAGAAAGAGCTAAGTACCGCGGCCGTCAAGCTCTTATCCAGATAAGCCCGAACCGGAAGAGGAAGCGCGATGCCCCGAAACTAGCAAAGGACGATTTTGCACAAGAGCTCACCCAGATCAGGGAAGCATATCGTCGATCTATCAGATTGTTTTCGCGATAACATAGAGGATGGGTGATACTAGAGTCCTAGGATCTACCGATTAGATAAAAGATTAAGTCTTCTCTCTACCTGACACAAGCGAACGGAATCTTTAGCCTCTATACCCCTAAAGAACTCTTATTCTTATAACTACTTCTACCTTAGCCGAATCGTTTCGTCATCTAATGAACTAAATCTACAGCAAATTCGGGCATCTCACCTAGCAACAACGGCCAGCCGTCCAGACTAGATACATCCTCTATCATACAAGCAGTAAAGTATGCTACAATCCGCCGGATCTGGCTTTCCCCCGCCGTAGTATTTTGATATATATAACGGACTAGTTCTCTAAATACAGGCATAAATGTCGACTCCGTTATAGTCCATTGCACCAGCTCCGAAGTTAGTCTTAAAATTGAATAATTCATGAGCGAAGCAATGGCGTATCTATTCGCTAAGGTGTAAATTTTCGCGTTGCCGACGAACTAATTCACGAGAGATCTTAGTCCCTCCTCTTGTCTCTCTCGCCCAGTCATGAGCGATTGGATGAAGTCTTGTTTCTTTTTGGAGGGACCGCTCTCATCTTTGGAATCGCGATTGTGTGATACCGTGTTAAGTTGCGCTTCCGTGAGCTAAGTGAGTGGGGAGACCGCTTTATCGCTGCCGCGTGGCAAGACGTAAGAGAGTAGGGTAGTTTGAAAGCCCCGTTGCTGGCATTCTAAGGTGACTCGGCGGTGAAGGTGGGGAAGAGCCGGGCGGATACCGAGGTTTTGTTTTCTGGTAGCTCTGTATTTACCGTAGTTATCTTTTCTAGCGTTTCGGAGGCGGGGTCTTGTCTAACTTCAAGGGTGAAATCCGAGTAAGAGCCGTGGTATACAAACTAAGCAAAACGCGAAAAAATATCTTCGTCGACGTCCACCCAAGTCACGCCCGTAGGTGCAGACTCCTTAACTAGGTTATGAAACGAAGCTAACAAATAGGATAGCAATGACTGATGGATGTAATACTCTACTCGATCATGTCCCACGATAAATTTGAATAGCTTCGTCCTTAGGTGGCTAGTGCTAATGCACGCATCAGTAAGGAACGTCATCAAAGCTCGCAAAGGCTTACTCTTTGAACTAGAAAGGCTGAAAGCCTTGCGAGAATAACATGTCTAGCTCCATATTAGCGAATAGCGAAGATCTAGATTATATATTCTCCTACGTTACAAATATGGCTAGGCACTGGGTTTTGTATGGGTTTTCGCATTAAGATTAGATTTAATTAAGCTAGCAGTGGGCGAGGATGCTTAGTTTCGAGGCCCTGGTAGGCAGAGTTTGAATAAAGACTTGACTAAAATAAGCACATCCTTAGAGTTCACGGTACGACCATTTCAAAGTTTCGGGTTTAAAGTAAGCGACGGGCATGTTCTCGTGAAAACTTTAGTCTTTTCATTGAGGATTATTAATGAAGCTTATGAGCCACGTGGAGGTTTCACTGTCTTTAATGAAGAGGAATTTTTGGGGGGCATTCAGCCGCGCCGGAATGCCAAGTAGCTGGTGATGCAGATCCCTGGGCACCCTCTCTGGAGCACCCTCTCTGGAGCACCCCCTCTGGAGCCCCTCTCTGGAGCACCCCTCTGGAGCACCCCCTCTGGGCACCCTCTCTGGAGCACCCCTCTGGAGCACCCCCTCTGGGCACCCTCTCTGGAGCACCCCCTCTGGAGCACCACACCCAGCCTCAATGAGCCTTGTCCTCCCGCCTGTGGCACCTCCCTGTGGCACCTCCCTGTGGCACCTCCCTGTGGCACCTCCCTGTGGCACCTCCCTGTGGCACCCGACTGTGGCACCCGCCTGTGGCATTCCTATTAAATATCCCCCACGAGTACACTTCTCTCCGGCACCATGGAGCACGATGTCTCGAGTATCGCACAGCACTCATCTACAACCCTGTGCAGACAGCATATCCAGACACCCTCGCTATGACAGGTAGCATGTCAAACTATATAGCTATATTATATTTGTTAGTGGCCTTAAATTGAAGTTTGAGTTGTATAGGCAACGTTAATTTAACTGCCACCTAAATAAACGACTAGCAAGAGCGTCGCATCATGGCTCTATAAGGAAGTTCAGCTAGTGCGCTGCGCAGGAACTCAACCTCCTTGTATCTCGAAGAGCTTAGAAAAATATATAAAGATGCCGCACATTCTAGACATGACCGAGCAGCTAGGAGCAGATAGCTTTGACGCGAAGCTAAGCAAAACACGCGTATCCGTTAGCCCGTGGAATGGGCACGCAGCCTCTCAATCTATTCTCAAGTCTGATTGCCCCCCCGACATGCTACTTGGCGCACTAAGGAACTCTGGAGTAACGCCAAAGGATGATCAATATGCCGGTCAAGGATATTCACAGCTAGCCTCGCGTCTGAAAGATAGAGGTCACAATCCCGTTAGGCAAAGGGCCAAAAGAAAGAGGTCGCTGGTTCAGGTTATATCAATTTCGCGCAAGTTCGTTAGGCACGACGCTATTGACTTCTTAATATAATCTTGGGAGCCGATGTTAGCGGCGTGGGCGAGACTTCTCCGCAAGACAACCATCCCGTCTAACGCGTCGCTTGCAATATTCAATATGTCAGCAGCCGTAGGCGCTCTAGATGACGTTCTTGCCGGCCAAGAAGGAACCAATTTGCCACCTAAATTCGGTTACGTTTAGTTGTCAAATTTCTTTCGCGTGTTGGAGGACAGAATAAAGCAAGGAAGAGAAGACGCATCTATCCCTTTAGAGAGCGGTCGAGTTAACTCCAGTATTGCAATTGATTTGTATATCAGGGCCCAAGATTCAGACCTAAGAACTATACGAACAAGGACTAAGATATAGGAATGCAAGCGAATCGGTGGGCGTTGGGCCAGGCTCGTTGGCCCGTTAGTTTTTTTGTTGGCGGTTTACTCTGACGTTGCTGAGGCTTTCGTGTACGTATCACCTATATGTCTCGTCCCTTTCATAGCTAATACGTTTGTATAGTAAGAACCATGCTAAAATAGATAACGCTACGTTTAAGAAACTGGCCTATATAGCCCTAGATAATGTTCCTGATAGACTCGTTAGGGCATGCGTTCATCTTTCTGCAATGGTTGAAGATAAAGTAACATTAGATCCGCAAGGCGATGACATCTTGATAGGGGGCATTGAGGGCATGGTCAGAAGGTATTTGGTGAACTAGAGCGGATGCTTTTCCGACACCGTTGCAACCTAATGCTAGGATAGATAATTTCTTTAATATCACCGATATATGCTCCTACTGCAATGCCTATCGAAACGGGACCCTAACCGCATATTAACTATATTGCACTACTGAACCGACAGGTTCGCGGATAGCTTTTCAAGCTGGCGTAGAAGAGATATCATTATATATATAGCTGCTTTATTTATGCTGGTTTGTGCGTGGGATCGAGATTTTATATAGTAGAGTCTATTCTATTAAGGGGGACGTTCCCGTACTAGCGAAAATAATAGTGAATCGCCTAGAAATAGCGGAAAAATTTAGTTATAAGGCAGGCTGAGAGTAAATCTAGTTTTGGCATTGTCCAATAAACAAGATAAGTAGTCTTATATAAATCTACACTACTAGTCTATAACGTATCTATAGCTCCTCCTCGTACTCTTCTATCGTAGGCGGAGTTCTCTGTCTTTGTTTATTCATAGATAGTACCTAAGGAACTTCGTCGTCGTTGTCGTTGACTACTTTACCCTGCGTAGCGGCCATCGGGTGCATGTGGGCAGGACTTGTCTCCTTTTTAATATTTCCAGTAGCTATGTTATTATCAGGTGTTTCCGGAGTAATACTAGTAGCTATCGGGTTTAATAGCGCGGTCTCCGGTTTGCGCATAGCTTCTGCTGTATGTATCGGGTCCAGTGGTGATAGAATCGATCGCATAGCTTGCCTTTCTAGCAATAACCTCTCCACACTAGTATCTGGCTTAGTACGGATTGGAGTCACCTCTCTCTCGCTATCACGGATCACCTTCTGGCTATAAGGAGTCTAGCGCTATGGTGTCCGCGGTCTGTGTGCTAAGCCAGGCGCGACTTTGGATAGAATCCGGCTAGGACGTTCAACTTCAGCGTGCCGATCTTAGATAACACCGATTTCATCTTCGTGAGCCTATTCTGTTTGTGTCGAACCCTCGATACTACCTTCGACAGCTTCGCCTATACTCGGCACCTAACAATCCTCTATAGTTATGTCGAGCTCTTCGGCCTGCTAGGCGGAAGTGGAAGTACCTGTATGACTCTGGCCCGTGACGGAGTCGTTATTCCCTACAATATGGTCGGATTGCTCACGAACTATTATGTTTCTGCGTTTCGTACGCTCTGCCTCACTCCTTATATCGAGTGCACCTAACTCTGACGATATCTAGTCTCCTTTCCTCTTGCGAGATACCGTAGTTTGTTCCACAGGTTGAGATATATTCTTATATTAATAAGGAAGGTCTAGTATCGCCTTCCCAAAGAATGCCCTGAGCAAGTCATATAATACCTATGGTGGATTAGCCCTCGTCGAACTACTAGACTGGTTTAGTTTGCACTGCAGTAACTAACCTATGAATCCCTGTGCTCTTATGACGCTATATATCTCAATACTTGGCTTGCCGCCGCGCCAACGAGCTATGAGGCACTAGGGCTCCTTCGGTAACTCTAGACGGACGGAGCTAGTCCCACGTAACTTTATAATAGATTTAGTGCGGAACGCGTTCTAATATGCGGCCTCGCATAGTTCAGAGATATAGTTATTGTCGGGCATTGTATTGATGCCTTGACCTTTAGAGTCTTACAAAGGCGGCTTAGTGCCTAATAAGGGGAAGTGGCGTAAAGCTTCAATAAGTATAGATAGGAATACTCGATCGAAAGGTAAGAAAACGTATGCCTCTCCTCTCCTAAGCATGGCTAGCTCGGAATGTTTCTAAACTCTTCGTAGCCGTAGGATGAGATCCTTTGAAGTAGTCCCCGGTCTAGTGGCTTGTTTTGCTAGCCGTGGGAGGATATACTTCTCGAGTATTTTGACACCAATCGTCAAATACCGCATATTCTCGTGAAAGGTTAATATGCTTGGGAGAACGTGGTCGTTTGCTATGATATTGCGGTATAGCCTTGCGCGGTGGTCTTTACCCCGTATTTCCGGGAAAAGCTTCTTCTCTGCTATGAGCCTTTTCATCGTCTCCCGATCCTGGCAGCTGCGGCTTGGCGCTATGTATTACAGTGCCCGCACAGTATCGCTATCTAGTAGCGGGATATCCGTTTCTAGTCCCTCGAAAATTTTAGACCAGATAGTTTCAATATGCTTCTAGTAGCTCACGATAGCGCCATCGCAATAAGCCGCAAGATACTTTGCAAAGTTACCGAGTTAAATGCCTTCCTACAAGCCGGGGAATCTAGCAACTTCCTTTATCGCCGTCCAAATGGGCCCTTTGGTTATAATTATTCGAATATATCGTCTCTTGCCTTTCTTCAATCTTGATAACTATTGCTTAGCTAAATACGGTTCGGGGTTAAGAAGTAGTTATCGACATATTTCACCATCGCTGAATAGTCCTAGCATCTCTAGGGGGGCTTCTTAGCCTGGTCAAGCCATGCAGCTTAGTAACATACCTTTCGGCAAGCAATGAATACGAACGAGACATTAGTAATCGGCCCCGAGGCTATCTTTGGCTTTCTGCAGACAATCCGGTCCCACGAGACAACTAACTGGGATAGTGTAGTTAACCAGCGCGTTGTCTACTCGATAGAGGGTCTGCCGAAATTTGCCTAGGGTAATGCCTAGTTCTCGTAGTAGATCTAGCATTGTCTCCGGTGTCACGATACTAGTTATAGGCGTTGCCGAGTTGTTGAGAAAGTGTTCGAGTTTAAGAACGGCTGCTCGCTTGGAGAAGGATACGGGGCACTCACTAAAGCCATCTGATGTTAGGAGGCGAACAGGGATGCGAACGACCCCGTCCAAATACTCTTGCAATAAGGCCATGCTGCGCAGGAAATAAATGCCACTCGCTAGTGTTGACCAGAATCAATCCGAGGCATGGCGCAATTTAATTGATAGCATCTGGATAGCATGATACGTGCGTAATTACTGCTCGATTTATTCACGGACGCTCTATTTACGGCCGCTGGTGCTTCACCACAAATACGTATA